TAATTAACTTTACTTGCATGGTTGAGCGAAAACATGACAGCAGATAAGTCCAATGGAAAATGGATTCAGCATATTAAATAAGTTATGAATATTATGAAATCATGTCACCTGGTCACAATGAATAACTATTAAAAAATAAGATTTAAATCTCCGTACAGTGCAGGGTGAGAACCATTATGCACAAGGATTTAAAATTTTAATTTGTACGACTATTCAAGTTTTACATGCTGCAATTAAATTTTAATTTGCCATTACGATTTTCAAATTAAATTTTTGATCATTAAATATTAAATTTGCATCAAAGTAACGTAAAAAAAGTTACGTGTATCAAGTATATTTTTATTTTGTACGTAACGGAATTCTGGTATTTATATATAATTGTTGAAATATATTGTAGCGGATCCTATGCTGCTTGAAAAATGGAGAAATGCAATTCGAGCCGACCGAATACTTTCGGAGAAGGATATTGCATGTGAGCATCATTTTCCAGAGAGTGAACTCCGTGACCTGTCCAAAGGTTACAGTTTTAAACTTGACTTCTCAAAAATTTAAAGGTGGGAGTATGTTGAAACTCTTACCAAACGATTAACACTACGTGATTTGCGCATGCGCGTAGCCTAAAAAGAAACTGAACTTTAATAGAACTAATAATGGACGTTTGAATGAAAGATGTAATCTGTAACTTCTCTTCTATAATGTGTATATTTTCTGTTAGTGTTGTATATTAAAATATGTTTTATTACAGAATAATTAAAATATGTTATATTAAATATAATTAAAATATGTTATATTAAGTGCCTTTTGTGATGAGTAGATTGTCTTAGGTTAATAAAATATTCCTGGCTTATTTGGAATGTATGAAGAAGGAAGATCTGAAAAGATAAGCCTTTTACCTTTATTCTTAGAATGTTTAGGATTGATATTCATAACAATAATACTAGCCACCCCAAGTAGCACATGACGTTGCAAAGTGGTCGTGGTAACTTTTACGACGTCTTTACAACGTTGCGAAGACGCAAAATATTTGTCGTTGCATCTTGGCAATTTGTCGACGTTGCTGAAACGTCATGATATGACCACTTTTAGACATGGTCGTTTTAGCATTTTCTTTTAATTCATCAGCATTATTTTTAGAATGAAAAGAGACTAAATCTGCCCTCTCGAGAATCTGAAGTCCGCATAAGATTTACTTTGCAATGTTTCATTACTTTATTTCATCTAAATATATTAATCTAAGATAGATTCATCTAATGAAATGTAAATTTAATATAAATACTTTTTATTTATTAAATTTAATTAGTACTAAAAATACGTGCTAAATAATTGTTTGAAATTTTGTTAAAATAATTAATACTTAAAATATTTTTTATAAATATTATAGTAAAATATTTTAAAATGAAACTAATCTATAAGGTAAGTTATTAAATTATGCATTTTATATACTAGAAAAATTATATTTCCGAAATCAATGCAAATCACGTGTTAGCAACTATTTTACTACTGAAATATGACTTAATTTCTCATTTTTGAAGTAAGGACGAATTTATGGATGTCCAATATATATGGCGGAAGGAGAAGCAGACCTGTACATTATTTGTTGGATGCCTTATATAAACGAACGTCTCGAGATTTGCGCGCTTTGGCTAGCTGCCAAATTCGAACAACAGCGCAATTAATTCAGATTCTAGCAGTTCTAGAAGTCATTGGGTAACGATGCCATCTGTAAGGCGTTTGAAAAGACTTACTTCATGTTTGAAATTGAATCAAGCAATGGCTGATATAAATAATATTGCTTATATTAAAAGTAAATGTAATGCACTGTCAATCAAAGAACGCATTATGAATCTTCTCATTGTTATGTATCTATTTACTTCAACTGCCTTCAGCCAGTGAAATTATCGTGAGAATGCTGAATTTGTGCTTATTTTGTGTGTGAATATCTGCTATCGTGAATCTAGTGTTCGTGAAATAGTGTCTCTGGGGTCTATAGTGGTCTCTGTGGAACTAGTGTCTGTCTCGAATCGCTGTGGTTCCAGCGGTGCAATATTTGGATAAACTTTACTAGCTTTGTGCTTCGTTTATAACGTCCTAAGTGCTATATCGCATATCATTCACATTAATCGATTATTGTGTTCATATTGAAAAGTTGGCTTTCAATATGAACACAATAATTCATAAAACTAAAAAATAACATACAACGGTAAGCCACTTTCTGGTTTTGCTTAAAATGCAATCAATACAGAAGCAACAACAATTCAAGCTGTTATGATATGTTCATTATTTTCAAAATACAGAGAAATTATTGGACTGGTACCAGATGAAGTATATATATGTATAATATAAGCAATTAATTAATTATTAAAATTAATAGTAATGCACATTCTATATTATATTGTCTTACAGTATGCAGAAAAGGTTAATGATTTTAAACAGTGTATGAAATGTATGATCGAAAAACTAGTGTTAAGGAAACATTAGCATTTCTATGAAATATTGTAATCTATAATTCTGTGATATTTAATTGTGTAATATTAAAAAACACTAACTATACTAATAACTTATAATATTTTTTATTGATTGCAAATTGCAGTTTTATTACTTCTCGTTTGGTAGCTATTCTTCCAAACACTGTGTAATTCGCGTTTTTTGAAATATTGCCGTTATGTATGTTTATTAGATTATCTCAATGAATTTTGGAAATCAGGTTTTATTTTTTATTAAATTTAAAATTTAAATTTAATAAAAACTGGGCGTCTTAAAGACGACATATTGCAACGTTTTTGCAACGACATATGCGACGAATTTGCAACGTCGTTACCACTTTGCTGTGCTTCTTGGGGCAGTAACTTAGTATCATCTTGTTAAAAAATCTTAGTACCTAAATTATACAAATACAGTAGAAATACATCCGGACGTCCATTATCCGGAATGATCCATAATCCGGACCTCAAAGACACAAACTTTTTTTGTATGCTTTACGCATGCGCATTTAATGTTACGGATGCGCGTTTAATGTTTTCGCATGCGCGTTTAGCACAAAAAAACGAAGCAACTTAAACAACTTACATTGAAAGAAATGTTTAATAAAGTAAACAAATAAATATTAAGCTTTTTTTGGTAAATTTTGATACCGCTTAGATCATAATTGCCCTTTATTTCATAAGTTACGGTTTCATATTTTTAATTGTATAATTTCTGCATGCCTTCTAACCAGATTTAAATTGATGATCTATAATCAGGAAAAACCCTTAATCCGGAATCGCCGAAGTTTCGACGAGTCCGGATTACGGACTTTGTACTGTATTTATAAATTATGTTGTAGGGTCCAGGTCGTTAATTTCTGTCTGGATACAGGAGTAGCAGGAAACTACACAGAAGAAGGGTTCAAACCCTTTATTAACTCTTTAAAAGTTACACTGCGTCAACTCGACGCTAATAAACTTCGCCTCTACTTGGGCGGTAACTGAAAAACAGGTAATTGAAAATTAAAAGTTGAAATGTTTAACAATTGCTAAACTAACCTACGGGGCTCAGCGAGATCCCGAACTTCAACCCCCTTCTAAGCTAGTAGCAGCAAAGCAAAGCAAATTAAGCCACTGGAACCAGCAATGAGTAAACGTACCTACGGCAGAGACGTCAGCTAGAGCCCAACTCGCTGATTTTCATTTCTATCGAAACTCGGCTTTTAACTACTTCCTTCAACATATAAAATTTGCATGCGTTCACGCGCGCTACAATATTTAACTATTCTGGCACTGACAATTAGGGGAATGAAGGCTTAAAACTCTGAACTTAAAATTTAAAATGTTAGTTAAAATAAATGTAAATCCCGACAATGTATACAAATATTTTATAGGCAGATATCATTAATTTCAATCAAATAACAAAGTTTGAAATCTAGTGATATTTCTATAATTCATTACTATTAGTAAGTCTTCTTATATGTCAAATGACCACAATCGATTTTTTAAACTCCCGCTACTCTCACTGTTAAAATTTTTATTCATTTAGTAATTTACAAGTCAAAAATCAATTTGAAAGACACAGTAACTATTTATTCTCATGACGACGCATATGAACATAATGAAATACGGTCACTGTGTCTTTTAAACTGATTCATTATTTTACCCCGCGCAAAAATTATAAAGAGTAAAATTCCCCCTCCCCGCAAGAATTATAAAGAGCTTTTTAATTTAAACTTATCACACCAACATTTTATTTAAAATAAAGGCTCTAATGTAGAATTGGATGCCCCTCCGATTAGCGACAAATTTCGTTTAATTTTGGCAATGAAATCCCATTTCTGGTTACCATGATAGTTTTAAATTTGTTTCAGCTTCCTGAATTTTTTCAAGTTAAAATAGATCGATGTGTACATGAACGAAGTTAAGACAGTGCGCAATGCCTAGTTTGTGCAATTCTGTTTTTTTTTTTTTTTTTTCAAGTGAAAATAGATCGAAGTGTACATGGACACCGAGTTTGTGCAATTCTTTTACTTCTTATTTTGGTTTTGTATAGTGGCCATGATACCATAATACCTACACCATAATATTTACACAGTAAGAATTAAGTGCTTGACATTGCTGACGAAGCAAATCTTGTTAATGGTCTCCTGCTATATGAAATTATACAATATATTTCTTAAATATCAGTATAGCGCTATGAATTGCATTGAATACAGATTGCTTAGCCAAACGATATTTACGCATTATAAAGTTTTATCTATTCCATTAACATGATTTAACAATTTATATAAAAAGTGCCGACATATTTTCTTATACTGTTAGGTTCGTTTTCCAAATATTCTGTTACATTGCACAAATTCATACTAACACAGGACATAAACAAATCCAAAGTAGTTATAAGTTCCCCTTGACATAACTCAAATGGAACAGATAACGGAATCTTTTCAGCCTGACGTCATAAACGGCAACCAATAAGAACAGGGATGGTGGCTGGGGCCAGGCGTCACCACCGGAACAATATCATTCCGTACTCGCGCAAGAAAGTTAGCGACATCTGGTGGCCAATAAACTGAAGACGACTCTCGTGGCGTAGAATACGCATCCTGCTCGAAGAAGCGTTTGGCACTATTCAACCGAGGGAAAAGATCATGTTAGCGGCGCCAATTAGCACTTATTGCAAAGTTACTGTCACCGCATTGGCTAATTGTCTAATATCATCCTTTGCATTGTGAATGGGGACTAATATAATGATGCAGCCATAACAAAGAGCGCTGGATCCTCTGATAATGTTTGTTATTAATTGTGCGTTTTTTCTTACATTATGTCAGCTTCTGTAACGTCTATCAAAATGTACCAAAGATCTATAATGACTAAACCGCAACAACAGATGATTTTACAGTACATGGAAAAACATCCAGACTTATTCAGAGGAAAAATAACCAAAGAATTTACTCCTCAAATGAAGCTAGAAATGTGGGAAGACCTGGCGACTCTTTTAAATGAGCGTGGCCCTTGTGTAAAGACTACCGAAAAATGGCGGCGGGTAACTGAATTCACCTTCAAATTATTATGTATCAAACTAAAAACTTAAACCTGATTAATATTGTCATTTTAAAAATTCTTCCATGTATTTCATATATATTTAAGCAGAAACATAGTCTGATTTCTGTGCAAGTTTGGTGGTCTATAATATTATTGAATTGTATAAATTCTTGTACTTATAATGACATCTTACCGTACTGTATATAGTTGTATGCAGTATGGTAAGATGTCATCATAAATACAAGATCTCACTATCATGGTAACCAGAAATGGGGTTTCATCACTAAAATTGAACAAAATTTGTTGCTAATCGAAGGGGCACCCAATTCTACACTAGAGCCATGATCAGGAAACTACGATAACATGAGTTACATCTAGACTGTATTATGGAATAAAGTGCAAAATTCAAAGGCATTGATTTTGATGTATTTCTTTCATTTACCATTGCAATTACAGAAATAAAATTTTGAAGTCTTTTTTTTTTTTTTTTTCCTGAACTGTTCCTCATTAGTACTGTAATTATGATGACTTAGTTGCTACATGGATTTACCATTCAAAAGCTTTGATGATATAGGAAACATAACGAGAACATGCCTCTGTTGAAATCTTGCGATTTCTTAAATATAAAGGATGTATATAAAGACATGAGGTAAGAAACTAATTTTTCGCAAAGACCAAAAATTGAAATTTGAAAGTAATAACAATGAAGAATTTAAAAAATGTTAAAATCAAAACTCTCCAAGCAAGCAATATCCCAATTAAAATAATCAGTGAAATTTAAATAAAAATGAACATAATCGAAGAGGAATTCAATCAACTTCAATGCCACTTCGTTATAATTAATATGGTTATCCGCTAATTCTGGATGCAGAAAAGCAAGGAGTTATGTGGAAGAGAGATTTCAGTCTTCCTCCTCCTGATAAAGTGGCACTGAAGTTGATTGAATTCCTCTTCTGTTATGTTCATTTTCTCTTTAAATTTCATCGATTTTTGAATTGGGGTATTGCTTATTTGAAAGTTTTGGCTTTAGCATTTTTAAAATTATTTATTGCATTTATAAGATTATTTGAAATTTATTACTTATGAATTTCAGTCTTTGTGAAAAATTACTTCTAAATTTCTTACTTTATATCTGTACTGATAATTTTTCAGCAGCTTAATGCATGAAAATACTAGGCATGATTGTATTTTGTTTTTAAAACAATTGGTTTGTAATTATATATATCTTTTAATAGTACAATAAAAAATTATCAACTTTTTTATTATTTATTTATAAATTTTAACTTCTTTATTTATCAAAAAAGAAGGACAGAAGAATTTATATGAGAAACTTGTCTCTTATCTGTCAAACTTGTCTGAATCTGAAGGATATATAAAATGCATTAGGTCGAAAAGAGACTTGATTTTTAAATGGTCAAAATTTAAGTATTTAATGAATCATTTGTCATTTTTGTTGAATCAACTAACTGAAAATGGTATTTTAAATATTTTATATCCAGTAGCATTTTAAACATGGTTATAACACAAGTGGCTAGTGGAGATTAAATAGAATGGCTTTGAATTAGATATGCATGTACAGTAAAGTATTTTGTTAGTAGTTTGAATAAAGATTCACTAGATATAAATGCGTAACAGAATAAAAAAGCTAATGATAAATTGATCATTTTAAAATGAGTTATATGTATTTGCTATGTGTACTAACTAGGTAATATACTTCTGAGATGCAGCTGTTGCAATATAAGCAAGAAAACATTATCATAAACGTAGCAATGTTTTCATTGTTTTACTTTCAAGAACTAAATTTATAATATGTCAGTGAAAAGCAACAATTTTGTATAATTTATATTACATCCAGAGAAAGTAAAAATCATCCAAAAGAAACCGAGTTCCTAATCTTCTGTCTTCCAAAGTTCTGTAAGTTAGCATAAATAAAAGGATCATCCATAAGTAAAACTGCATCTTTTATGTAAAATTCTGCCTGATTATATGCTTCATTACAGAGTAATTGCAATGCAAATAATACATTTTGGCTGATACAAGTATATATGATGTCATTTACTACATCTAATAACAATCACAAATAAAGTATTTTTGGCTGATCTTTGGAATATGGTAACTGGTAATTTGGCGACATTTTGGAGGCGATAAAGGTTACTACCTAGGACTTTGGTAATAAAGTGAGAAGTACTCAGTTCCGATTACACATTATTTTGTGTGAGGGGAAATGAGAGATCATGAGATATGTCATGTGACATTAATGGACGAATTACAGTTCTTTAATCGGAAAAGGGGGGAAATCTGGAAATTTTGTATTTAGCTTTATTCTGTGTTGTGTGAAACAATGTTGGTTAATTTTTGGATCCCATGGCCCTAACTAAAGTGAATTCGAAATGGGTATTTAGTGGGATTGAAAGGGGTAGTAATAAGTGTTTTTTTAAGGTTGTGCGAGATAGAAGTAAAGATGTTTTATTAAGTTATTTATTTTACCTGGTACCTTGCTGTGAACTATAAATATGATTTTAAAGATCCTGAAACAGGCCCACATACGCTTGCTTCTTATTTAGCGGAGGAAATAAGAAAAGTTTATCAGTCACGTAATCAAGATTCTGAAGAAGGTTAGGTAAGTTAGTATTTTTAATTATTTGAGGATATTATTTTTATGCATTGTTCTAAATGTAAGAAGTAAATAAAATATGGTATTATTGGAAAATTGTTATTAGTAATGATTGAGTTTAAAGTAATTAGGATTATAAGCAAATTTTTATTAATTTAATGTATGTGCTTATTTATATTTTAAGTAGTGTTTTTTTAATTTAATATATTTTAATTAAATGATAGTTATTTTGTGAATTATATGTTTGTAGGAATTTGGTATACGTTTCAGTGGAAGTAAACATGCATGGAAATAATTTAAATATTTGACACTAAGTATTTGTAACCATTTGTAATGTTTGCGGTATGAATTCGTTGGGGACATTTATAATATAATAGATAATTTAGAGGTGAAAGTTTTTGGATATTTTATTTATTTTATACGTGGAAATGTTCATCTTTGGAAAGGGTATATACTTTTTCGCGATCAGGTAATTTCATATGTGTTCTTTTTACTGGATTTAAAGATTCACATAATTTTCATGCATTTTTCTAATTTATGAGGAAAAAGCAATATACATGGGTATAGTGAAGAGTGTGCGCAATGCCATTTTTGTGCAATTCTGGGATGTTTTTTCAAGTAAAAATAAGTCGACATGCACATGGTTTAGTGATATTTTAATTAAATGATAGTTATTTTGTGAATTTTATGTTTGTAGGAATTTGGTACATGTTTCAGTTGAAGTAAACGTGCATGGAAATAATTTAAATATTTTACACTAAGTATTTATAACCATTTGTAATGTTTGCGGTATGAATTCATTGGTGACGTTTATAATGTAATAGATAATTTAGAGGTAAAAGTTTTCGGATATTTTATTTATTTTATGCGTGGAAATGTTCATCTTTGGAAAGGGTATATACTTTTTCGTGATCAGGTAATTTCATATATGTTCTTTTTACCGGATTTAAAGATTCACAAAATTTTCATGCATTTTCGTAAAATTTTTCTAATTTATGAGAAAAAAGCAGTGTACATGGGTATAGTGAAGAGTGTCCACAATGCCATTTTTGTGCAATTCTGGGATGTTTTTTTAAGTAAAAATAAGTCGACGTGTAAATGGTTTATGTGTATGTGCTATTCTGAAAAACGTGCAAGGAGTTTGCGATTGTGCACTTATTCCCTGATTAAGCATAAAATTTCTAGCATAAGTGTAATTTGGCTAGTAAGTAGATTGTTGGAAAAAGTGTTCAGTAAATAAAAAGAAAGGAAACATGTCTTTACTTCGTGAAGACAAAATGGCGGCGAAAAAAAAAATAGAGGGTTGCTGTAGCAGAGTTGGTTGCCAAGTTACCATAATCCAAAGATCAACCGTATTTTTGAGTCAGTTCAAAATAAATTATTTTTTGACTTAATTAAGATTTGTCAAGTAAATTATTTGCACCAGGTTATTTCATAAGCATAGTATGAGTTATTTTGGGGGAAAAGCAACATGTTGTAGATGTGGATGTGAACTTGACAATAATAGAAACAGTAGTGTCACTTTATATCACCACATATGCCTTTATGTAACATCAACATCCTTTTCTATATGTATATCAACATCCTTTTCTATATGTATATGAGGAATTTTGAGACTTAATAGCCTCCATTTGTTCAGAATTTGGAAACCTAATATGAAAATGTTTTCCATTCTTTCTGATTATACCCACCTTTCCCAAAAAGTATTTACAAGGCAATGCACTATGTTGCCAAAATAATTATGCGGTAACCCATGATTTCACCAAAATGTGAAGTGTGTTGATGTTTGTTTCAGCAAATATTTATTTACACCTTGCCAGTTCAACAATCACAATCCTTTTTCTGATTAGTATTAATTTTTGCATCAAGTTACATTCTTTTCCTCTGTAACAAATTATAATGAAACTGTGGAATTTGTTGGCTGATGGGAAAGCATTGCATTGCTTCATGAAAATGGAGTTTTGTCCAGCAATAGAGACTGCAGAAATTATCATTCCATGAAGTTATACTTTTTAAGCAATTGAATTTTTTATAGAAATGCAATATCAAAATTTGCATAGTAGTAAAGCTGTGCAATTCTCTGATTTTTTTTTTTTTTTTTAAAGAGGAAACAGATCCCTTTTTGTGTGTGGAGAGAAGAACTGGGAGGGGGAAAAAAAACCTGTTAGGATTTCTTGATAAGTGTTTTATTAAAGATATTTCTTGCTTTTTAATTTTTATTGATTAATTCCTCTTTTACTGAAATTTTAGTATGTCACTGTTTTTTAAAATAGCTCTTGCCTTTTGCAAGCTTAGTGAAAAAGCTTGGCGAAGGATTAGTCACCAACGAGCTGATGATTTTTCAGGGGCAGAGAGAAGATCAAAAACTATCATACTTTCCTTGAGGATAGTTACTTAGTTTAAAAGTAAAGAATGATAGAATCCATTCAAAATTTTTTATCTTGAGTGAATTGCAAATATTCACAGTGCCAAGAATTAAAACTTTACTAATTTTATAATGCCTAAGCTTGCATTAAATTATTTAACTGCAAGTTAAAATGAATTTTTTTAAATTCAAATCTTAACAATTATGTGGGCTGTTTAATTTATTATGGTTTGTTTCTATTAATTAGACTTTTATAGACTGGAAATGTGCTGTCAAGAAAAAAGCAGCTGAGATTGCAGCAGTGGAAAAACAGACTGCAGGAAGACCAGTAAGCGTTAAGGAACTCAGTGATGATGAAATGAGACTTGTTAATTTAATGAACAATGCAGCAAATGCTGAAATAGAGGCAATGAATGAGACAGATGAAGAAATTGTAAGAATATATTTTCAAATCTATTCAATTATTTTTATTTATTTATTTTAAGTAAAAATTTACCATTCACTCTAGATTAAGAAATATATTATAGTAGAGTTCTGCAACCTCAAATTCTGATTACTCGAGCTCTTGCTTAAGTCGAGGATCCCTTATTTTAATCACTAAATGATTTCTGTTGATCAAGTAGAACATTATCTTTGAAATTATATGGTGATTTATTAATAGATAAGCTAGGGTTTTTCAGTCGGCTTGGGGGGGAAGATAGAGTCAGCCTTTTATTTAGCTGTTAAGCATTTAGTTTTAGTTTATAAATATAAAAAAAAAATTACTTTTATTCAAGTTTGGTATTTATCAGCATTTTCTATACTTTTTTTTTATTTTATTTATGAAAACTCATTAAAAAATCTAAATAAATGTAGCTACTTGTCTTCTGTAATGGCCTTGGCAAGAAAGTGAATGGTATTGCCATGGTGCAATATGTTGCCAAATGTTAGAACTGCGGCCGTGATATGAATCCATGGCATGGTAAACTATAAATCAGCAATTCATTTATTACCTATACAGTACAAAGTTTGAGATCCGGACTCGTCAGGACTTCGGCAATTCCAGATTTGAGATTTTTCTGGATATTAGATCATGACTTTAAATCTAGTAAAACGGCATGCAGGAATTATACAATTAAAAATATGAAAACATGATTTATGAAATAAACAGCATTTTTTATCTAAAGGATATTTATTCGTTTACTTTATTAAACATTTCTTTCAATGTAAATTGTTCAAGTTGCTTCGTTTTTTTTGTGCTAGTACTTTCTCTTTAATTCTATAAACAGATATAATTTCTTGTTTTGTTACAAAATTCCACTGTTCAAGTCCTGGTAATTGCTGTGCCCAGAAATCTGACTTACTTGTCAATCGAAATTTTTTCTTTTTCAATAACCTCTCTGTCACTTTTTTCACTATCGATAGTGTTATTATCTGGACCTAGAACCATACTACAGATTTCTCCATCCGTTAATTGATTGATGGCATTGTCAACGCAATGAAAAACTTTTGTTATATCACCTTCATTTATTACTGCTTCTCCGCATTTCTTTACAAAAACCATTAATTGGAAAATTTCACCTTTGGTTTGTCATATTCGAAGACCTTCAAATTCACGACTCTTATCTTTATCATCTTTACCATGAAATGTGGTAGCTGGTATAAATTATGCCAAGCATTTTTTAAAGTATCTGGGGACACATCCTCCCACGATCTTGCAATGCTCCACACAGCAGATTTTATGCTAAAATATTTCAACAATTCTTGAAGAGTCTTGCCATTCAAGAAATTTAACATGGATTTTAGAGATGCTACTTTATATTTGCATTTCAGCGCAAGCACTAGTCTGATATCAATAGGCTGAATGATGGACTTACAATTTGGAGGAAAGAATAATACGGATACATTATCTTTCACTAAAACTTTTAGTGAAGTATGAGCTGTACAGTTGCCTAGAATCAGGACAATTTTTGCATCACCTGGTAGACCAACCAAATTTAAATGTTGCAGAGCCTCGGGTATAAAATGATTTTCAAACCAATCATTCATTAACGCTTGTGTTATCCATGCTCTTTTATTTGCACGATATGTAACGGGGAAAATCGTTACTCCTTTAAATGCTCGAGGTCATGTAGTTTTTGCGATTATGAAAAATTTGCAATTGTGCATGCTAAAACTGTTAATGCCACTTTGGAATCTTTGATTCCAGTTGAAGCCTTTTCTGTAGAGGTTGCCAGGGTATTTTGAGGTTTAAATTGCCAGAAAAGACCAGTTTTATTAGCGTTGTAAATTTGTTCTGGAAATAATTTTCAGAAGTAAGAGGTTCAATGAATTCATCTGCAAATAGTTCAGCAGCTTCAGTATGAGCTGAAGCTTTATCATCTAAAAATTTTAATTGCCTTATACCATGGCGATTTTTAAATTTGGTTACCTGTCGAATATGTGCACTCAGTTTTTAAGTTCATGTCTGCATAGAATTTTGACTTAAGCCATTAGCATTGGATCCGTCAGTGGCACAGCTTCGCTACGAAGCTGTCTGACCCATTCAATCATCACTTTGTCATGATCGTCACTTTCAACATAACGAACAATTTTCTTGTTATTCATTAAGAGTGGGTTGTCGGAATACACAAACAATTCAAAAAGTTCCTTTTTCTTATGCCATATACAGTTGACTTTCTATACTCCTCACATAATTTTGAGACAGATATGCCTTTATCCATTTGATGCAGCAATTCCACTTTTTGTTTAATGGACATCGAAACATACTTTCGCTTTTTAGATCCTTTTGCAGCTCCAGAATTAGAAACTCTTTTCAACCTAACCAAAAATTCAGGTTTTATTTTCATAAAATTGCTGTAATAATAACAGTCTGCAAAAAATAATGAGCTGGATCAAATTAGAAGATTAAGGAGCAGCGCAGTCTGCTACATTAACTGAAATTCTTTAGAATCAGTAAAGATAACTTTAGTGTAGCTTAATAGCATCCACTATACATTATTGGCTATGTATCATAAGTTTTTTTTTTTTTTTTTACTTATTACGTGCTCCGCCCTTAGACACTATATGGAAAGGGAGGGATGCCCCGTGGAGGTGTTTTTAAGGGAAACTGGCTCGTATCCACATTACACATGGGGAAAGCCATGAAAACGCTCATGCAGCCAGCTCATTCGCCGAGATTCGAACCCGGACTGAACTACCAGTGTTCAGCGGCTTTTACCGCTCGGCCGCTGGTGGGCGATGTATCATAAGATTGCGGACAAAAGACAAGCTGTTCCGATAAATTTGATCTTACTTCTATAGACTGAATTAAGCCTGAACTGTATACACATGCTTAAGGCTAATACGAGTCCTGAATAAATATCCTGAATAACTTTTCTACATATACTTAAAGTCTATGTAGGGCTGATGCTAGATACCGCATGATGCAGTCTCTAAATTCTGCTATAAAGTGCCTCCCTAAGTCCTAAATTTTCACTGCGCTTAAACTTTGGATCCCAGTGCTTTCCCTAAATTATAAAAATTTACTCGTCCCTTAATTTTGCCATTCGGTGCTTCTCCGAATTACAAAAATTTTGTCTTCCTTAACTTCTGCCGCCCGGTACGACCATATGAGCTCTGATGCATGTTCTAAGTTTATGTGAATAACATATAAGTTATTCTTAATTCAAATAGCACTAAATGTAATCTTTTGGCTTATGAGTTTCATTAACAAAATATATTTTTAGCATGTGAAAAGAATTTTTCCTCGTCAACATTTCTTAGCGCATTTAATTGTATTCATCGCCAAGCGTAATGTCAGCATAAAATGTTGCTGTACTCTTGTTATTCAATTACTAATATATATATACAGTCAAAAGTCTTTAATCCGGACTCGTCGGGACTTCGGTGATTCCGGATTATCGGTTTTTCCTGCTTATAGATCATCAGTTTAAATCTGGTAAGATGGCATGCAGAAATTATAAAATTAAAAATATGAAACCGTAATTTTGAAATAAAGAGCAATTATGATCTAAAGGGTATTTAAAAAAAAAAAAAAAAAAAAAAAAAAAAAAAAAGGTTAATATTTATTTGTTTACTTTATTAAACATTTCTTTCAACGCGCACATGCGTAAAGCATACATTATGCAAAGTCGAAATTAGAAAATTGCAACCAGAAAACTATTTGATGTGTATTCGTGATATTTATAATGATGAGGAATTTGATTTAAATCATATCAAAGACATTGAGATGAAATACTACATTTATTATAAGCTTATAATTCCTTACTCATAATACTACATTTATTAGTAAGGAATTATAAGCCGAATAAAATAAAAACATCTGCTCTGAAGATAAGGATAGTGCTGACAGATCAACTTCCAGTTCTTTGCGCACCACGTCATCTGAACTGTCTCGGATTGATGAAACATCCTGTGCATGGATAAGTCCAGATTTGCCCTGCAATCAGGTGATAAGGGTCTGAAGAGAACGAGGCACTTAAAGTCAGGCCCAGATCAGACATCATATGTTCAGTGGTAACAACATCATAGTGTGGGCTGGAATTTCAATAGGATATCACATCCAGCTGCACTTCTTTAAAGATGGTTTTGTGAAGGCTGCACAATGTCTGGATGAAGTCCTACATCCCATTGCAAGACTACGCTGCTGCAGTAAGTCCTGACTTCTTCCTTATCGAGGCAATATTGTTAAAATGTATTTGGAGAGAGAAGGCATTTTTCACATGGAGATGCTGCTGCAGTCCATTGACTTTAATCCTGCTGAAAATCTTTGGGATGGCCTGGAGTGTGCTGCGTCTGCACACTCCAGGACTTCTCCAGACTTCCTTAATGAAGAAATGGCCATTGCTAGCATTTAGAATGGTTGATCACATTGATGAAAGCATGGGCAATTGCTGTAAAGTTTGTGTGAAGGCCTTAATGGTAACATACCTTATTAATGTAAATTTTTAACTTGAAGAATAAATTAACCCAAATGTGATGTTATTATATAATTTACAAAAATTAAATATTGTTTTCTTTGAGAAAGTACTTGTTTCCCTTCATGTGTAAACACATTTTCTATCTTCACGTGCAATTTAGTGTTAATGAAAGCTTTACTTTGTCCTTTTTGTTGCTTTTACTGCCATGTGCTTTACTTTGGAAGATAATATATATTAGTATATTAAAACTGTCTCATAGTAATTACTTAATTGTATTGAATGTATACATTTACCATATATTGGATATTAATTCTCAAATTAAAGTTAATAAAATAAAAATAATGGAAAAGCATCATTAACATAAACTCTTTTACAGCTTACTTTTCCAGGAATACAAATCAGCCAGGTTTACTCTAATTGCATTCCAGTCATAGATCCTGTACAGATGAATTGGGAACCTCCCTCAGAGATTACTTCAACAAATATTTTGGAAACACAGATAAAACTGGAACCAACTGATTCTGTGAAGAATTTAAATAAAAACTTGATTGGGGATGGGCTCATACAGAAAAGCATAGACCCTACTTCAGAACCTGCTTTAGGAAATGTTTTGGAAGCACAAGTAAAGTTAGAACAAACTGATATCTGTGATACAAATTCAACACCAATAATACATAAAATTACAAATGAGAACTTCGTTACAAATGAAACTCCACAAAAGAACTTAAAACCTATTTCAGAAGCATGTGTGGTATTGGAACAAAGTGGAACCTTGAGTGAAAATTCTGAACAAGTGACGTATGCAGTTGCTAGTAACCACCCAAATGGAAAAGAACCTTTGCAAAATCTAAAACTTACACCAGAGAGTGTTTCAACTCATTCTTTTCAAACACACATGAAGTTAAGGCCAGTGAATGGTTTGAGGGAAAATTCAGAAAAGGAGGCTTTTGAAATTACAAATCAAAATTCAAGTGCAATTGAACCTCCTCTGAAGAAACTGAAACCTGCTTCAGAGACTGTTTTGACTACTGCTTTAGAAGTGGATCATGAAAATTTACGTAAAATGCCACGAGTAATTACAAATGGCAACTTACACCCGCCACGAAGGAAACTGAAACCTTCTTCTTCGGTGACTGCTTTACAAAATGTTATGGAAGCACAAATAAAAATGGGAAAACAAATGGATACATTGAATGAAAACTTAGAAAAAATGACAAATGCCATTACAGGACTAACAAAAGCTATTACAAATTCCTGCCAGTTAATATTTGCAGTTTTAGATAAAAACTATGCTATTCAAAATAAAAATTAATGAAAGAGGAAAAAAAATTCTAGATTTTTTTATTAGTTGATTAAATGTTTGTTAGTGGGAATGCAGAATAATAAATAAACAGAGAATATCAGATGATTGCCCTATAATCTTATTTTTATATCTGATAATGAGTAATAATTAAACCGTGATGCATGTATTCATTTTAGTTTTGAAAATGAGTAAAGCTTCTGTGAAGTGAAACTTAAGTTACAGTTCTAGCAGGTTTTTATAATGTTTTACATCATTATTATGATCATTATTTAATTGCAGCATAAATTGATCATACTAAATTTAATATTACAGTGTTGAGAATATGGCTATGTAGTAGTCCTAAATTAAATAAAGAAAATTTTTTATTTTAATTAACTAATCATCTTGTATAGTAACAGAAAATTTGTAGAGTTGTGGCTGTATGTATTATGGTTGTATAACATCTCTTTTAAAGCATATGTAGCTTCTTTTTGACTTTATGGAAAATGTTGAATCCCATTCAACTGCAACTGCTGTTTGATGTATTGGGATACATACAATTTTCTTAGGTATTTCATATCCATTTGAGCTGTAGGAGACGGTAACTGACATGCTGAAAAGCACATATTGTGAAAATTAGCAAGAGTATTAGCTGTTTCTACAGTGAATCTCATATTTTCTAAGCCTGGAATAAAATTTAACATATTGTTACAAATTTTATATTTAATTAGCTATTTTTAGTAAAATTATAATTGAAATTGTTTTATTTTTCTGTGCAGTGCAGCACATGACAAATTTTAAGAGAAAGCTACGACGGAAAAGTAAAAATACAAAAGCATGTGCATTTAATATTGAATAAAAGTTTATCTTGGTAATTTATATTTAATTTGAATACTATGTTAGCTGTAACCGGAATTATACTCTTTTTGCTTTCCATAAATTACTAGAACTATTTCTTGCGGTCAATTTAAAAAGCCAGAGAAAGAACATCTTACCATAGTTTAGTTAGCTGCTGTTATTGTTGATTGGGTTAGCTTTCTCTCTGCAGAATTGCATTCCATTTAACGTTTTAGTAGTTTAAAATATAGTTACTGATTGTATTTTGTGATATTGTAGGGTTCTGTTATATTTCTTTTAATAAATAAAAAGTCTTATATTTCTTTTGATAAGAATATATTTTATTAGCCTTTTATCTGACTTGTACATTCAATCTATTATGAACCCGTACAAACACAACAATATTACTTTTCTGTAATCTGATTTTTAAAATTATTTCATGATTTCATACAGAATATAAGTAGGTATATTTTTATTATATAAACTTTAGATTTTCTGTTTGAAAAAAGTCTGTATTAATGAATGAGGAAGCATTATGCATATTTAGTTATTAGGTATTTATACAGGGTGATTCATAGATCATGGGACAAACTTAAAGGAGTTGTGGAGCGTACTAAAACATGCATTTTTTTTATAGGAATGTAGGATCAAAAGTGACGGGTTAAGGCAGGACCGCAAAAAAACGACACAAGAGGAAAATGTGAAAATGTACAAAATAAATGCACAGTGCTTCTTTGCAGCAATACAGTATTCACGATAAATGTTCAAAAAAGGGAACACTATCAGTAATAGGAACTACAGCTGTGATTGGCTGGCAATGCAGCGGTAGTGAGCTGGACAAACCACGATCCGAGCAACTCTGATGTCAAGCGATCGCAACTTTGATGCCGAGCGTAATGGGTGAGTTTATGCACAGGAAAAAAGCTGATATGCATCTCATGTATGGTGCTGCTAATGGGAACAGCAGAGCAGCACTATGGTTGTACCAGGAACGGTTTCCGAACAGGTGTATGAAGCACATAATGTTCGAGAGGTTGCATCAGTCTCTGTGTGAAAACGGGTCATTTGAAGCCACCTCTGACACTTGAAGTGGAAGAAGTGCACGACAACCTCGCATTGAAGAATCCATCTTGAACATTGTGCATGAATCACCTCAGACAAGTACAAGAGCTATTGCACGTCGTCTGCAGCTGAGTCATTCCATCGTTTGCAGAGTAATGCATGAAAATGATTTGCATCCATACCATTTGCAGAGACAGATTACCCTCTTCGAGTTAATTTTTGTCATTAGTTCTTGCAGCAGTGTGCGGCGTAGGCGGATTTCCCATCGAATGTGCTATTCACAGACGAGGCAACTTTCTCACAGGACGGCATCTTCAATAGCCACAGCATGCACATGTGGGAAACTCATAATCCACACAGCACACGTCCACATGCATTCCAAATCCGCTTCTCCGTGAATGCGTGGGCGGGTATTGTTAACAGCTAATCTCATAGGCCCATACCTCTTACCTGCACGTACAAATGGCTTATGTTATCAGATTTTTCTGCAAGAAGTGCTACCGGGATTGCTGCAGGATGTTCCGGCTGTCGTTCATGATCGCATGTGGTTCATGATGGTGCACCAGCTCATAACCATGTGCAGGTCAGCATTTACTTGGATGGGACATTTTCGGGCCATGGTGGACCCATTCAATGGCCTCCCTGTTCGCCAGATTTATCCAGCATGGATTTTTTTTTTTTATGGGTCCATCTGAAGAGCATCATTTACGAGACTCCCGTTGACTCACTGGAGAACATCATTGTACGACTATCCATTGCAGCTGCATGCATGTGCGAAATGCCTGTTGTTTTTCAAAATGTACATCAATCCCTTCTGCGATGTTACCAAGCATGTATTACTGCTGGTGGTCGCAATTTTGAACATTTATTGTAAATACTGTATTGCTACAAAGAAACACTTTGCGTTGATTTTGTACATAAACACATTTTCCTCTCATGTTGTTTTTTGCATTCCTGCCTTATCCGTCACTTTAGACCCAACATTCCTATAACAAAATGCATGTTTTAGTACACTTCACCATCCCTACAAGTTTGTTCCATGATCTATGAAACACCTTGTATATTAACCCGTAAATAAAATTAAAAAAATTAAAACTCTCCAGTTATCGGTTCATCAAAGTATTATAAAATCTATTAATAGCTATATCAGGGTTGCCACTCAAACAGGAGAATAGTAGTGTGCATTGACTGTGCTGAAAAGTAAATTAATTATGGTACCACTCGAAAACACAAAAATTTGCCAATTACATATAATCTCGAAAACATTACTATTATAATTTTCTCCACTGAAGTTGGAGATTAGAATCTGCTCAATCTGGATTAAAACCAAAGAAAGAAATCTCTTTTAAAATAAATTCAGGTATTTTATATTTATTTAGCAACATACATAAGCAAAAAATATGTGCATTAAATTTTGTGATAGTATGTCATCGTACTGCTAGAATTAGTTTTCAGGGTTATGCCAGAGAAAAATTGCCTGAAATTTGAATGTATTAACTAATAATAAATAAATTTAAAGGGAAGAAGCAACAGTAAAATGAAATTAATTACTCGAAAACTGAATTACAAAAATCAACAATTTTTTGGCAAATATTAAATGGTTAACCTAGATGATTGATTACTTTTTTTTTTTTTTTTGGTGGTAAAATTCCAATATACGCTACGGCCTTGGCATGATTTTGAAAACTACCACCACCACCAAAATGACCCATTTATTTCTCATCATAATGGTGCCAAGTCCCTCGTATACCATTACTATGATTAAACCAATTTTGTGGTCTACGAGAATGGGAAGGTATTTTCTTTCGTTCAACATGCACTGCAGTCAAATCCCGTGTGTAGTGTTACTAATATTAAACCAATTTTGTTTTATACGAAAACGGGAAGGTATTTTCTTTCGTTCAACATGCACTGCACATTCGAGTCTCTAGCTTCTTGAGGTTACTGGAAACCAAAGTTACTGAAAAACAATCTGATTGGAGCTGTGAAAATTGGCTCTGTGCCAGCTGCTTGAATGATTCTTATGCGAAACATCATCTGCCAAGAAAGTGATCACTTCCAACGTTTATGCAAATCTCGCTTTTTGAGGAATCACCATATGAAATTCCCTGACTTTTCAGGTCAACTTTCGAATTCCCTAACTTTTTCTAGTTTTCCAGATAGTGTGGCAACCCTGTTATATAAATAATTCAAGTTGAAGATGCACATATTATTAGGTTTATGGAAATAAAGTATGTACCCGAGGCCTAAGATATGATCAAAAATCTAGAAAATAATACTTAAATTTTGCTCATTAGAATTAAAATGATTTAAATGGGAATTCCTGTATAACATCTTCATAAAACTTGGGCCATGTTCATAAGTTGCTGTTTCTTGACAGGTAATATGCAAAGTGCACTTTATATCTCTTGTCACTGTGCTATTCTGATATGATTATTAATTCTTTTGAGTGCTGAAAATGATCATCTGCTGATTACATTAAGATGGTATTGATAGAATGAATGAAGACAATTTGTAAGTTTTACTCATAATGCTATGAATATTGTTGATATATAGTGTACTATTTCATGTACAGGTTTATTTTCAAAATCTGCAGAAGAAAACAAAGCGATCAGCTCATATTTAAGCTTTGTAAAATCAATTTATTTAGCAATATTTTGGAAAAATGAGAATTGTAAAAATGAAAGTTCTCTTCATTCAGAAGGGTCATAAATTTAAGTTTATTAAAGAAACCAAATCTTTTGTATATTTGAATAAATATGTTATCTAAAATCTCAAAGTAAAGTTACATGATTTCACATTTGTTAACATACATTCTTTTTGCAATTCATTTGTCTCTTGTGTGCTGGCATTTTACCATGCAGCTTTCAAATCATTTATGATGCCAGCACATGTTGATGATGGCCCTACAAGCATTTCCTTTGGCACTGTTTGGAAAGGCTTCGCAATTGTGTCACATCATTTCACCATTCCCAGCTAGTCATTTGTTCAAAATTGTGCATTTATCTACTGTTTACTTTTTTTGTTTATTTATTTAGAATTTTTGCAAAATTGTGGCCAAATGCCATGAGGCAGAGTTACATCTGAAAAATCAAAAAGGTTGATGATGCAGTGATCAATCATTCAGAGTTATTGAAAACAGATGAAAGTCTTCCTTGATGAAAATTAATCAACTGTGATCAATGACGTCATATCTCAAAGTATATTGAATCCACAGGTAGCAAAAGAAATCGTAGTGATCAATCATTCAGAGTTATTGAAAACAGATGAAAGTCTTCCTTGATGAAAATTAATCAACTGTGATCAATGACGTCATATCTCAAAGTATATTGAATCCACAGGTAGCAAAAGAAATCGTAACTACAATGATTTTTTGCAGTAAGACTGGTGAACCAATAAATATGTACAGTCAAAAGTCGTTAATCCGGACTCGTCGGGACTTCAGCGATTCCGGATTTATTTTTCCGGATTATAGATCATCAGTTTAAATCTGGTAGGATGGCATGCAGAAATTACAAAATAAAAAATATGAAACTGTAATTTATGAAATAAAGAACAATTATGATCTAAAGGGTATCAAAAAGAAAAAGCTTAATATTTATTTGTTTACCTTATTAAACATTTCTTTCAATGTAAGTTGTTTAAGTTGCTTCGTTTCACGTGATAAAACTTTCTCTTTTAATTCTACTAAGATATAATTTCTTGTTTAGTTAAAAAGTTCCGCTGTTCAAGTCCTATAATTGCTGTGTCGAGAACACCGACTAATTTGTCAATCAAAATTTTTTCGTTTTCAATAACCTCTGTTACTTTCTTCACTATCGGAAGCGAATTATAATGACAAGGAACTTGATTTAAATCATATCAAAGATGGAGTACATCGAGATGAAATACTACATTTAGTAAGGAATTATAATCCAAATAAAATAAAAACATCTGCCCTGAAGATACGGATAGTGCTGACAGATCAACTTTCAATTCATTGCGTGCTACAGCATTTCTCCCCCCTGCCACAGAGCAGCGTGAAAATTATAAACAGATTTCGGATTTCAAAACATACTTTCGCTTTAGATCCTTTACATATGAGCAAATATATATCGGAAATTCTATTTGATATAATCGAAAGTTCAAGCTTACTTTTATAAAATTGCTCTAACAGTCTGCAAAAAATAATAAGCCGGATCCAATTCGAAGATTAAGGAACAACGCAATTTGCAACATTAACTGAATTAGATAATTTTAGCTTAGTTTATACCGTCCGTTATACATTAAACACCCATACACATGCATATTTGCAGCCGTAAAGGTCTTACGCGCACACGTAAACGTCTATGCGCAGAAAGTTTGTAGTTTTGAGGTCTGGATTATAGGTGTCCGAATTAACGACTTTTGACTTTTGACAGCCGTAAAGGTCTTACGCGCACACGTAAACGTCTATGCGCAGAAAGTTTGTAGTTTTGAGGTCTGGATTATAGGTGTCCGAATTAACGACTTTTGACTGTATTAGTGGAATTCGCTGAAAAAACTAAGAATATAATATTGAAAAAAATTATGAATATTCATGTTCTGCAGAATGATTAAAAAAAAGGAGGAATTGGTGAGACAAGTGGATATTCGAACTTCATTTGCAAAAGCTTCATGCAGTGTCAATACTGATTAAGTACAATTAAAATAGGAATACATTTATTTACTCATTTTTTATTAATTCAATATGTTGACAAATTTACTGTATGCAATTTGTTTTTCATTCTTTAATACATTTCATCATATGAAAAAAATAGTTTTGCATTATTGCCAAAATCCTGACTCTTGCCATAGCTTCAAGAGTGATATACAACTGATCTTCAATAATTATATATTTTAACATTAACTATTTCAAAAACTTCTCACCAGTTGCCTCTTGGGAAGTATTTCTACAAATTTCCGGCAGCTGGGACAAGTATTATTCTGTAATTAAGATTATATTGTAAAAATCATAAAGAAATAGATTTAAAGATTCTGTAAAACTAAGAGTGTCAGAATACAGAGTATTTCCATTAACAACTGCACAAGATTAAATAACTATAAAAAATATATTTTTTCACTTGTATAGAGAACTAATTAGCTTTCATGAAAATTAACTGCCAGCTTAGTAGAAGTAAAAATCGAAATACTTTTGTAAATAATTCAAGCTAAAAGCATAAAGTGAATTTGACAGAGATAAATGATACATACAGTAAACCCTCGTGGAATGTGGACTTAACAGAATGCGATTTTGCTCCATACATTTTCTTAACAATCCCCATTTCATTTGTCCAAAGCAAGAATTTTTATTAAACGTGGTCCCCTGCACATCACTGGCACATTGCGATAGTTCTCTTTAGTGACCGATTTAAAAGTTTATTCATTAAAGATATCAAATACAGCAGAACCCCAGATTTAAAGTTCTCCCAATTTTTAATAACGTGCAGGGCACAGTACTGCATTTTCCAGTTTTTAAGGCAATATTATTAAAGTTTGTATAAATTATACATACTTTCTTAATCTGAAATATACATAATCCATTTTTTTCCACAGCTTTGTGAAATGCAATTTTGCCGTATGTGAAAAGTGTTGATGACATAACACCCACATCTAGCAAGGGTTTACTGTATATGAATATTTTGAAACACTCACATGAGAAAAGTAACTTGTAAGAAATAGAAAATAAGACAAATAATTATAACATTTTATTTTTATTATTATCAATATTATTGTGCTAAAATGTAATTAACCGCTTAACAACCGCGCTTGAGATATCTTAGGAATATCTCGTTTCAATTTTCCTATGAACGAGTTAACTTGAGCGCTGAAAATTTTACAGATATTTAATGCCATCACTCGTAATATCACATGCTAATCGACACTGCCATGCACATGTTTTTTTAACTGTGAGAGCAGTTCAAGCGGCTTTTATGGTTACCCTCGAATGGCGGTGATTATTGTCCAGACTATGATGTGCTGCTATGCGTTACACCATGTTTCAGACTGTACCGTACTGTCAATGACATTTATAGATCACAAAATCTATTTACTTGATTTCTACTTTAGCTCTTATTACCTCAACTACAATTTTTGTATTACTTTTGGCTAGATTGTAACTTTTTTTTTTTTTTTTTGCTGCTTCATTGAAGAGAGTTAACTCGGGTGATGTCATGAGCCATAATAATTTTTTTTTTTCCCCTAGATGTTTTTTTCGCCTTACAAAGCTACATCTAGTAAGCTATATATATCTGTAAATAATAAAAGTGATATAAAAAATCAGGGATTTTCGGCATAAATATAAATTCGGTCATCAAGCGGTTAAGAAAGTTTTTTATACTATCTTGTTTAAATTCCAGAATCAAGACATTTAACAATAAACAAAATGGAGGGTAAAGACAATTTAAAATGTTTAATTTTAATTATATTTTTCTAAAAAAAACATAATTTTAAATGTAATAATGCTATTATATTTGTTAAAAAAATTGTCATGAAATTACAGAATTTTTTTTTACATAAATTGACAGTGTTAGTACAAATTGCCAAGCCCAGTGGCACAAAACAAAAGAAAGCATATTTTAACAGAGAAAGAATTTTTTTAATGTAATAAAGAAAGTGAACTGAAATGATAAATCAAATGTCTCCAAGAGTATGGGCTTAAAAAAATATGGATGGCTCAGTAACAAATCGTGGACACAAAGATCATTTGCTGCACTGCCTATTTTGGCATTATCTAGCTTAATTAAATGTTACACTTCAGTTTGTTGGTCCAAATTTCTAAGCTGTGGAAAATTGCTTGATCAAGTTGTTTTCTACAGGGTAGGTGTATTTCTCAGGAGTGTCAGCTAAATGTATGGTAGAATGAAAGGACTGTTGCTGTGTCAAGTGACAATTTCTAGCTGTTCTTGGATCTTAAGGTCGCTTTCATGTAGGTTTTTTTTTAAATTAATACTTAGGCTATTCGTTCCAGTTGAGAAAGCAGACAGATCATCAGTGAAAGTTCCTGTTTTAGTAATGTTTTAAGTGTGGCTTAAGTAAGTTAACATAGAACATTTTATTTCATTTTTAATTGTAAAAGGACATGAATTTCCAATATGTTTACTGGTTTAGAAATTTCTAAGTATAATAAATTGTGGGACGCAAGATTTTTGAGTCAGATTTATTATTTTGTGAAAGCACAGTAAGGCTAGCTGTCTAAAAGGATGGATATTTCTTTGGATAATTTTCAAAGACAAACTGGTTCATATTCACATTATATATGGGGAAAACCGTGAAAACATCTATGTATTCAGTCCACGTGCAGGGATTCGAACACAGGTGAAACTACCAGCATTCAGAAGTTTTTCTATGTAGATTATGAGAATTTCAAGAATCACGGTACTTCACTTAAGAAGCAAGTGAATTTTTTTTTATTCCTGCTTATTCACAATAATGTCACTGAAAAGTGAACTATACAAGTTTATTACACTTGGCATTTTGGTGCACACTTACAATTAGCAACCTGTTAACAATCTTAAAAAAATCTGTCAATTGATAATAAATTGCAGTAAAAAATAATATACAGATTTATACTGCATCTAGTTCCCTAGGACCTAAATTATCAGCAGTTTTCCCTGAGCTATGATACGTAAATTCGTTTTTACATAAACTGACAGTTTTAGGAAAAATTGCCAAGCCCAGTAGCATAGAACAAAAGAAATCATATTTCAACAAAGAAAGAATTTGTTTTTAATGTAATAAAGAAGCAAATTGATTTAAGAAAGAATAATGTAATAAAAAGCAAATCCAATTTTAAAGCGGACTACACATTTAAAAATGTATCATTATTTTTTAATTTATATTTAAAGAGACTTTTCTGATTTTTATATTATTTCAGTATATATTAACTTGATTAAATAATCTGCTGAGGTCAGAATGAATTCTTCAGAAGCAGAAAAGGGCTTGATGAGTTTTTTATGAAGCGAGCTTTGAAAACTTTTATATTGTGTGCCACTTATTTGAACACTGTTTTGTGAGATCTTCATTTGGGGAAAAATTTCCATTATAAATCATGTTTTTCATTGATGAGATATAGTTTTTAAATAGTGAAATGGCTGAAGAAAAAATTATAAAATGGGAAATTCTAATGACCTGCATCCGTTTACTGATTCTCCTTTACACTATGCTAGTGTCTGATGTGCCTTTTCAGTGCAATGAATAGCTGAGTCCTTTTTCTTTGGATACTCAAACTTATATTATTTAGAAGTTTAGTATAAGAGAATAAACATCTACCATGGGTATAGAAACAGGGTACAACATGCCATACAATGGATCGACAGCTTTACATCCAAAGATCAGGCCACTAAGATCTACAGATCTTAACAGTGCAGACTATTTTTTGTGGGAATATTTAAAATGAATTGTTTTTATAAACAATGCACATACTTGGAAGAGAATTGAACATCACTGCTACCATTCAAAATATAGATAGAGAAAACCTTAAGATTGCTAGAACATAATAAAATGTGAAGACATATGCACTGTTGTTACCAGTTTTCTTGATCTAAGTCAAATCAGGTCCACAAATTTTATCTTGCCAAGAAGCAAAAGGGCATGTTGTTGACTAAGGCCTTAATATATCTTATAGGTGACAGAACAAGTCTGCTCAGCCCTGTTACAGATGTAACAGATCTCATGAGGATGGATGAAATGTTTTCCACTGAGCAGCTTCTTAAAGAGACTATCAGCCTGACAGTACTGCAGCCAGCAACTTCTTGAGAGGACAATATTTTAAGTGCCTCTTTGCTTGCAAAGATACTAAACATTTACAAAAATCAATGCTTTTGGGGAGAATTCAGACATGGGCCTAATGATATACCATCCTGCATAACAAATCTTCAAACAAAATCAAAGAGACAGACAAATGCAATAATTTGAAGAAAATGCCATTTCCAACATATGCTGCAGGCATTCTTTTCAAACATATACAATGATTGCTTCTTTTAAACTGAACATCCTATGAATAGCTTCCCCAAGATTTGAGCTTGGTAAAATCATGGATATGAAAAATACAAAAATATACAGGACAGGTGAAATAAATAGATAGAAAGCAGTAATAGATAAATAAATATTAAAATGTTTACTTAACTGTTGCCAACCATGGTGTAATACAACGTTTATGATAAAAATGTTTGCATGGTAAGGATTTCACTTTTTGCCTAAGATGGAAATCTTCTAAACATACAGTACACTGGATTCCCTTACCTATGAAACAAGAAATGTATTAAAACTATTTCAAAATTATACAAAATGTAACTGACAGTTAAATAATTATCTAAAAAAATTATTTTTTAGAAAAGAAATTTCACATTTCATGAAAGAAAACTAATTGTGATCCAGTTTTAAAAATAACTCATTTAACCACTTAGCAGTTCTGCACATAAGTCAGATGAATAGTACTTTTTTGTGCAGCATAAAACCATGCTGCACAAAAACTACATTTCTGTTATTACATTTCATTTAATCTAACTTGCTTTTCGATTTGTAAATGGCATTAATCGAACACAATTTAATTTTTATGTACTTTACTTTTTTTAATAGTTTATAACTTCACTTCTATTATTAATTTATAAGAAACTACAAATTTTATTACTTTTTCAATTTTTTGCAGTTTCCCGAGTTACAGCCATATCTTTATTATATGCTAACCTTTATGAGTTTAAAAAAAAAAAAAAATTTTTTTTTTTTGGGGGGGGGAAACGATTTTCTTTTACTTCAACAATTATTCATGTTCTTGCCTTAACACCTTCTGATTTTGTAATTCTTGTAAACTGCAAGTGATTCTTTTGATTTCCTTCATAACAGTTGCAAGAAATTTTAAGTTTGGATGTGGAAAAGTAACTAATACAACACTAAACATAAATAAAACAAATAAAAAAGTAACAATTTATTTATTTGAAGAAAAATTCATCAAAAGAAAATTTAAATTCGACACTTTATCTCCCCTCCCCCCAAAAAACAATAATCAAGAAATCATATCAAATAATTTAGAAGGAGGAAGAGGGGAACTTTGTATTATATTTCATAAACACTGCATTTATAAAAATGTATGAGTATTTTTTAATTGATTATTAAATGTAAATAGATTTAAGTGCTCTGTTTAAATGTGGTTTATGTACTGCATTCATTTGCACATTAGAAATGATGAATAATCATAATAACAAAATAGCAATTTCATTAATGTCATTGCAACTTCTGGAAAGCATGTGAAACTGACAGCACTCAGTAGTGAGACGAACGAAATAACAACATGATCTTACTAGCTAATACATGCCAGATGACTTTCAGTAGCCCTTGGTTTCCACTGGGGTGTATCTGAGCTAAAGGAGACAACTGACATAGCTGACCCATCTCTAAAACCAGTTTTTTCACATGGGGCAGCAAGTTGAAAAATCTGAACTGCAGGCATAGCGGAGCAAGTTGATGCATGGAACTGACTCTGTTGTGAAATGAACTGAAGTAATAACTGGCACGAGGTGCCGCTGTTCGTGACGTCAGCCTGCGTGCCGAGTGTTTCGAATGGTTTGCTTGTAGACAGAACGAAAGCTGATCTCGGAAGAGTAAGACTGTTTGATGAAAATAAAGAATGGCTTATTAAGAATTTTTTTGACTTTATTCATAATGCACCCAGCCTCGGGTAGAGGCAGCCCGCAATTGAATGAACTGTTGAATATATTTGATTTATATATTTTCTGTGTTCTTCGCAACATACTCCATTAGCTCAGATAAACTCCCGTGAGAATGGGCCTTTAGAGAACTAGAATACAACATTTTTATGTGTTCTGACACACAAAGCAGTGCAGCATATCTCACTGATGAAATGACTTTGGTTTTCTTTTGTATGTAATTTAGAGAAAAACCAAGTGCTTTCAGATGCCCCAAATCCCTTTTTTTGGGGTGCAAATAATAAAGTATTTAGTCAAGCTACATAAAATATGTAAGAAGTTTTAAGAATAAGAGAAAGTTGGGAGAAATGTATTGTAAAACAGGTTGGCAGGAGTATGGTCAGAAATTGGTCGAATTGGTAACTCTGTACACGCAAGCAGCATATTTTTGTTTATGCTCACATGTGGTGCTTTCTGCTTAATTTCAAGATTTAATATTATGCATTCAAAACCCTATAACTGATACACATGGTTTATGCATCCTGTAATTAATGCCTACATATTCTGCCTCCAATGACTGAGCATTTCATTGTTGTGCATTAGCAGAAGATGTACTGAACACAGTAGTTCCACTGAATGGTCCGTGCAGACTGATTTTATTCCATTGGATCATTTCATGTGGATGCATACAGTCGAAAGTTAATATTTATGGGAATCCATATGCTTCACAAGATAAGTTATGGATGCATAGTGAAAACACTGTCCAATGGATTTTGAATTTTAGAACATATATGCTAGTATCTATGACAACAATGTAAGACCTATGATTTGGTTTGGTTTATTTGATTATGATAAGCCACAGGAGGATTATCTGCCTAAGAGAAGATATGCCTTCATGGAGGACTTTCTAAGGAAAATTGACCCAAATCCATATTTTACATGGAAAAAACCACGTAAATGTCCATGCAGCTAGCCCATTTATTGGGAATTAAGTCTATGTCAAACTACCAGTGTTTAGCTGCTTGGCCACTGTTGGGTATGTAAGACATATGTTATTGCTGATATCTCACATTTCCAACACTTACTGTCTACATATCTGCACAGTCTTTCTTTTGCATACTGCATGTGAACATCCCACCATTTCTTCCTGGACATAATATTTTGCTCTTATTTCGATATATTTGGAGACTTTGCTGAACAAATTCAAATCAGCATATTTTGTGACTTCCAAAGAAAGACTGACATGGCAAATGAGGAATTCTCTGCTTTAGATGAGTATCTACAGTTATGTGTCTTGCCACATGACACTAGAAACATCATTTGTAGCAGTACGTTATACTCTGCAATTCGTCTTTCGGCATTGCATCAAATGCATAGGAAATGTGTGAAATATTAATCACTTCAAACCCTGATGTCCGATTTTTGGCATTCTATATCATGCCTGCTTTCATATATTCCGGTAACATTTAGAATACTAAAATATTTGGTTAAATAATTTAATTACTTAACAGAATGTTTAAGTATTGTGCATATAATTTTGATTCAATTTAGAGTTCAAAGGAGTTAATTCAGTTTCAAAATCAAAAGCATAATGATAAGAGATAACATCTGAAAGTAAATACACATCAGCATTTTATAAAAAGCATAAAATAATATGATATATATTTAAATATTTGTTTATCAAAACAGAATAGTTAAAATACTTACGAATATGACTTTTTGATACAGCTATGGTTCGTAAAGATTTTATCCTTTTCTGTAAGAAAAGAATTATAATATAAATTTCAGTTATTCAGAAAACAATTAAATAAAAAACAGACAAGTACGTAAAAACTTATACTAGATATTTGCATTCAAGATAACTCGGCAATAAAGAAAGGGCTTTCCATGCACAAAGCTATGCAACTACATTTATCCATCTTCAACCAACTACGTATTCAGTTTTGGTTTGTTATTCAAATTTGTGCGTATTCAACCTGTACTTGAATTTTGTTGAGTTTTTAACTTAGCAATTTAATTTTTTTAGTCCATTACATAATTTGCTACTGCACTAAGAAAAATATTCTGCAAAACTGTCTATTAGGATTTTACGATAAATAAATTACTACCATATTGCAACATTTCTCAATCCTAGGGGATTCAAATATAATGGCATTATTGATGTTACAGAGCACTGCCTATGCACTGTGCTATGTCTCCTTGGGTGAATACAGCTACCAACTCCATCTCACGTCCTGCGAAGGTTAAAACTTGCTCAGTCGTGACTTGCAATCATGAGTGAACAACAGCTCTCTAGTTGTATGGAAAAAAATTTCTTGTTCAAAAAATGCACAGTCATCTGAAATTTGGCAGAGACTCCAAGCACATTATAGGGAAGTGTGTCTCTCTAAGACTTACGGGTTTGAGTTGTTGTAAGTGCTTCATTGAGGGATGACAGCACATGGAGAACATTTGTCACCCCTAGAAATACTGATCGTGTGAATGCAGTTATTAGTGAGAATAGGCACATCATTATCAAAGAACTTGCATCAATACTTTCAATCAGTATTGTCATCAATTTGAAAAAACATTTGCACCATGGCAAGATGTACGTATACCCAAAGGATTCATACAAGATGACAGATAAGAACCTAGTGATGTGCATGCAAACAGCCAATTGGAAGGCATGAAGTATGCACACCAACGTGTCAGTCTTCAGGGGTGGATTTACAGCAAAGTGAAAAACTTCAAAGAAAAGGGAATGAAAAATACTTCCAAAAATATATCAATTCTGGAAGGGTGAAATTCTTTCATTTAAAATACAGTTTTTAATAATAATAATAATAATAATAATAATAATAAAAGTCCATTTGAACCATCAACCTTCTTTCATGCCTTAGGAAACACAAACATATATCCTTGAAACAGTAATATTTAAACAAAACATCTTTGAATTAATATTCATGTTAAGACACAATAAAACACCGAATAACTACTAACTCAGAAATCAAACAACAAAAATCAGGGTTAGATTTAAAAATTTTCACAGGACTAATGCTGATTTTTGTTGTTTGACTTCTGAATTAGTTAATATTCATGTGTCATGATACCAACATATAAATTTTATAGATTATTATTAATACATTTATTTCCCTTTTATAAATTTAAAGATTATAAGGGAAACATAATACAGTCATCCCTGCTTAATATGATCACAAAAAATTAAATGATTAGGATATTCTTATTGGTTAACATTAACCACAATTACACTACATTATGTTCTTAAATCCATTTGTCAGAAACATCATTTACTGTAATCAGTAAATTATTTAATGTGATTAAAATGTTACAGAATGCTATTCCCATGCCATTCTTAAAATTATTTAATTATTTATTTGCTGTTAATAAATTTTGTTCTGTTATGTGGAAGATTTTTCTTGCACCTTTAGCAACTATTTGCAGTATAGAATGAATTTTTTAACCAAACTTAAGTCATAAAATCATAATTCAGGAACACAGATTACAGTCACATTTTTAATGAATGAAACTGAATAATGACCTCTTAAATAGCATCTGTAAAACTGTACACCACATTAAATAAATGGCTTCCTAAAAAGCATACTGAACTTTTACTCCTTCCAGCAAAAAGCACTTCTAATTTAACCTTATGAGTCACGAGGAAAGTAGAATCACTCATTGCATAAAAAATCATATTATGATTATTTTATCTTCAAACACTATTTTTTCATTCAAAAGGCAAACACACACATCCATTATTTATCATAAATAAAAAAATCATCACAAACAATTAAAAAAGTTTAAAATAAAAGTACACAAAATTATATATAATGAAAAATATTTATAATAAATACATATTTAAGATAAAACAGATAAACACTAAAACTAATGATACAGTGTGATGTCAAATGGAAGTAAAAATTAAAAGCTTGTTCAATCCCATATATAGTAAACATGAACATCAAATTATAAAATATACAATGATATTCTACAGTGAAAACAAAAGAAAAAACTCTTCAGGTCCCATACAAAGTAAAATTGAATGCTTATTTATAATTTATATTATGCTTATTTATAATTTAAGAAAATAGGCAGTCATACAGTTTTATGTCTTTTAAAATATTTGCATGGGCTGTGGTGACCCAAGCAAGTAAAATATTTGATGATTTGCATTTAAAAACTTAACAGAAAAATTTGCATTCAGTCAATTTTAATAATTCAAAGCAGCATAAATTACTAAACATGTGCTTAACTATTACCTATTTTCTAAACTCAAACCTGAATTTTGTGGAAGAAGTTTTAATAGTGATGTAAAGGGCAAGATAGCATTATAGAACATTTTGTTAGACCTGATAATTAAAAGATATGAAAAGGATGTTGAACTAACATGTTGGCTAAATTGAAAAATTAACAAGCCTTTGTTTCCCTTTTCCTTGCCAGTATATCATGAAAATTCTTTTGGATCATCCAACAGCAACTGTACAGTAAAACCAATGAACACAGTTTGACTAATTAGCTCAAATATTGGCAAATGGGCTAGCTACATGGGAGTTTTGCCCATATGTAACATGAATATGAGCCAGTTTCTTTCCATTAACCTTTTGAAGACGGGATGGCCATAGAGTCCTCTCTTTGAAAAGACGGGGTTGTCCACTATAGTGGCCAAGTCTTTTCCCCCCATTTTCCATGCTGAAATGTGGGGTGAAATGTCAAATTTGACGTCCCTAGGGTTTTAACCACTTATCTCTTTCAAAGGTCTTCCTTTTGGAACATAGATGCACCCCTCTGAGAATCCATTAAACTACACACAAGAATCTTTGTTGCAAATACGTGATTTCTTAAAGGGGGGAAAACATTCGGTTCAAGATTCCCCGTCCTTTGGCAGCTTTTACTGCTACTAAAGCCCCGGCCTCAAAAGGTTAAAACATCATTCACAGAAGGCCTCCCCTTCCCACATGCATAGAGTACCATTTTGAACTTTTAAATATTATTTCATAATTTACCAATTCTGATGACTATAATTTAGAGAAATTTGAAAAAAGATGACACATGAAGCACAGAACAGATTGTGCATAGATGAATATGCACTGTTTGCCAGTTACATTTTAGTAATTCTGATGAACTGAATTTAAAAAGAGTATACCTTTAGAATTTCTAATACACAGTCTTGCACACTGGAGATAAAAATGTTTTTACCCCGTATAGTGTTGCCCTTGGTCGCTTTGAAATCATTAAGGTTGTTAATAAAAAGTTTGTTAAAGTTTTACAAAATATGAAACAGATAATAAAACAAATTTCAAATTTGGGCTTCCAGATGCCCATACTGGAGTGGAGGACTACATCATTCAAAATTTGATGTCTCCAGTTACCGCTGTTTCACAGTGCGAGAAATATATATATACATTCATTACTTAATTTCTTTAAATATAATGCAAGGCTCTAATATTTGGTAGCAACAATTTGAAAAGTGATTCAGACTTTTAAAGTTTTTGATGCTGAATGCCAAAATGAAATTAATAGTCCTTTTGAGCAAATTGCCCCTTTGGGGTTAAAAAAAAAAACTTAAGGTTGTACTCAAAATACATGCATTAAAAAGGTTTTATTTTTATGGTAACATCTACAGATCAAAATTATTCTTGCCCACAGCTTATAATGTTTAAATTACACTTACTCGAGCAGTTTGTTTATCGACACGACTATTCAGATAGTCTGCAAACATACTGTAAAGTAAAAAGGCAAGGAATTATTAACAGTATTGAGTATACATACTTATAGAAATGCAAAATAATAATAATATGAGAAGAAATGATGGGAACATACTTTTCATCTACATCATTAGCAGCAGCATTATCTGGGGAGGGGAACAAAACAATTTTAGACAGGCATTTTTACTGTATCAATTGTGTTTATACAGAAACAATAATAGACATTAATATAAAAAATAATACATATCTGCCAACTCTGAAACTATGACATAAAGCTGTGAGTTTCCATGCTACATAGCAATACTTATTTAAAAATACCCCAAACTGACTTAAAGTCGCTTTATAACGGAAATTTAAATTGAACTATTTACAAAGTGATTTTAATGTATTAAGATTTAATTAGATATTCTAAAGTTTATTTTGTAATTATCTTACACTTAAATGGGAAAAAAAAAAACCTAAATAGAGAAAAAAACTTATTCGTCAAAGTGCTTTTTAAAAGGATGAAAGTAAAATTAATAATAAATACACATACTATATAGATAAATTTATTAACATTCTATTTGTTAATGTAAAAGAAAATTAAATACAAATATTAATTGTTCAATCATTGGTTTAATTTTCATAAAATGTTCTACAAATGACTTAAGAGGTTATCACATATCCTATCCATGTACGGTCCCGGCTACATGGGACTTTTCTGATTCTGGTAGCACTGGTTTAAACGGAAGGATTCTTAGAAAAAAAAGCCCTGCTGGAAGAGAAGTCCTGCCTAGCTACAGAAACGATGTTGCAGCTATGCAGGATGTTTTCAAACCTCACTGAAAATGTCTGGCTGGAACTCCGCCCCGGTTAGAGACAACCAATTAGATAAAAGTTCTGCTTTTGAAGAATCACATGATCCTAATCTGAGCGATAATCAATTACTGTTTGGCGTTAAAATCTTTGTAATAAGTAAAAATGGTAACCTAACTATGTGGGTTTCCTGGAATTGTGCAAGTTCTGAGAATTGTCTCTTTCAACCTCAAATCCCACGTAGCCAAAACACAATGTGATTGGGAGCTTAGGTGGTCAGGTCAGATGGTGCAGGTGTCAGAACTGCTGTCCAATCTTGTGTGTAGCGGTCATAAAGCAGCAATAGCAGTATTCTTATGGGTAGCATAATTGAAACGATAGCACGGGGGAAAAAAATTTATTCCTGACACTGAAAAACACCTAAGAAAATTCAGTTCTAATAGTATAAAAAACTGATGATGGAGATGATCATTGATGAAAAAACTGGTTTGCATAGAAAGTGGGAGAAGCTGTGGTGCTGTAATCTGTAACATCAAATGGAGGAGCTTAGCTATTAGATGAAAGCAAGGAGTTAGAATACAAAATACATTGGATTAGTGGGTAAGTTAAAGGGAAAGGGGGACTAATTTTAGATTTGTACTAATTTTGAAAAATGTATAAGATAGCCTAAATTTAAAATAAGTAGGATGGGGATAAATAACAAGGAACAGCTGGGAAAATAAGTAATTAATATAGCAATCAAGAATAAAATTTTTTGAATTAAATAAGAAAATTTAACAGAAGTTGGAAGCTAAATTCAGACTGCCAACCTGTTAGTCCACAGTCCTAGTTCTATCCATTAGGTTTGTGGCATCACATTCAAAGTTAATATAGAAAATACATTCAATTTAAATGTAGGAGCACTTCTCTAGGTCTTTTTCTGCTGGTATTTTCATGATAATCATTGTTGACTTGAGAAATTTTTTCAATATTGTTGACAATTTCTTGCACAATTTTAGCCTTACATTTGGCTATGCTTTTAATATCATATTCATCATGAAAGGTACTGTACCTAATGAACCATCAGCAATTTGTATTAGTGTGGTATTTGAAGAACATGATGTTTGTGAATATTCATATTAGTAATGTAAACCCCCAGACAAAACAGGCATGCATAATGATGGGATGCAGCATGGTTTTATACATAAACAATTTATTGTCGACAGATAAAACTGAATTCCATGAAATTAAGGGAAATAGTGTAGCTTTAGCAATCTGAAATTTAGTCATACATGTACTGTGGGGATCCCAAGTGAGTCTAAAATAACACCAAAATAAAGTAGAAAGTCCTTAATCCGGACGTCCATTATCCGGAATGATCTATAATCCGGACCTCAAAGCCACAAACTTATGCATGTGCGTAAATCCAGTACAGCATTTACACATTTGCTCTTCCAATAGTGACGAAAGTGACAGAGAGGTTATTGAAAATGAAAAAATTCCGACTGACAAAGTTGATATTCTCAACACAGCAATTACAGGATTTGAACAGTGGAACTTTGTAACTGAACAAGAAATTATGTCTGTTTATAGAAGAGAAAATTAAAGAGAAAGTATTAGCACAAAAAACGAAGCAACTTAAACAACTTACATTGAAAGAAATGTTTAATAAAGTAAACAAATAAAGCTTTTTTTTTGTAAATTTTGATACCCTTTAGATCATAATTGCTGTTATTTCATAAATTACAGTTTCATATTTTTAATTGTATAATTTCTGCATGCCATCTTACCAGATTTAAATTGATGATCTATAATCCGGAAAAACACCTAATCGGAATCGCCGAAGTCCCGATGAGTCTGGATTACGGACTTTGCACTGTAATTAATTTGCTTTGCCCAGGGAATTATATTATATGAAGCAAAATGTTGATTCAGTTTCCTTTTTCTTGTAAACAATAGGCTTTCTTGTGGCTTATGATTTTTACTCATTGATGGCAATATTTCATTTCTGAAGCCAGGACTCCAGTGCTTATATGTGTTTTTATGAGAATTGAAAGACTGAACTTAGGGTTGCATATTAAGTCATAATCACCGAGTTATCAACACACATAAAGAACTGTTGTGTTTATGTTGTGAGGATGATGTTCATAAAAATGAGAAATAATAGTGTACCAATTAACTAGCTTTGTGGAACACCTGCAAGTATTTCTGTGTAGAGTAGTAACTGTCATAGCAAACAACAAAATACCGATCCTTAAGATAATAACTGAAGATGTGACTTATGTAACCTGGGAAACCCAAGGTGTTTAATTTGTAGAGTAGCTCCTTAAGCCATACACAATCAAAGGATTTAGAAATATCGAGAAACAGTGCTCCAGTCATTTGATGATTTTGAAATACTTGAGAGATGAACTCCATCACTCCATAGAGCCTACGGTTGGTATTTTCATTGAAAGCCACATTGCTATGGAATTAAGAGTTTTCTTGTGATTTAGAATTCTCAGCAGGATGACAAATTCAGCCATTTTCCTGAGCGAAGAAAGCAGGCTAATCAACTGATATGATGATGGGTTATGTGATTCCTTTCCAAGCTTCAAAAACTGGCGTAATTATTACCATTTTCCATTCACAGGGAAATACTGAAGTTGCATGATGGAGCTGATAATTTTGATGAACTTCAATAAAATGAAGGATCCCATTTCTTTTATCATCTTCATACTGATATTATCCAGTCCAGATAATACCAATATCATGTTTCATACTGATATTACTTGAATCTTGGACTTTTTGGATATAACTTTGAACCTCTAAGGGCATAATTGGAGGGATGTTATTTATGTATGGCTGAGATAAGAATTATGTAAGTGTGTTAGAAACAATTTGATTTGTTTGGGGGTGAGGGATGTTGTTAATGTCAGGTTCTACATGCACTTTTTCTCTGCTTAATTAATTTTGAAGTATTTATCTCGGTGCTGTTATTGCAAAAGGCAGTATATAATTCCTGTTCTAGAAATGTCTATACTAGATTTTAACAACTGAGATCAAATAAAATTTAATAAGAAAAATTAAGCTGCAAATCACTATTTGTGAGAGGAATGCACTTTGCACTATTTAAATTTCCTTAATTCAATACATTCTATTATTGCTATGTTCTATGTTGCTGGGAAACATTTTAATTAGTAAAGGTTAAAAATTAAAACCAGAGTAATTCTGTAATCTCACTGGGAAAGTGTAAGATGTGAAAAAAACTGAGAGTTTCGCAGTTACCAGTGGGAAGGCTGGCAGCTATGTTGATACCTTAATTAAACATTAATTTTAATTCTTTCACTTCTAAAAGTTGTTTTAATTCTTAAATTTCTAAATCTTAAAGTTAAATTAGCTTAATTAATTAAAGCAAAATGTTAGATTATGCGCTTCAAATACACAGCCAAAATTGAAAACATGTATGAAGCAAAATTTAAAATCTAACTTCAATTCCAGCTATATGTATAACCAAAACTACAAATAATTGATTTTGTAACTTAGCTAGACTTATCAGAGAAGCTGAAGATAAGTGTTAACTTTCCTTTCACATGCCATTCTGTTAGGTAATTTATCTGAGCATGGCAAAGCACATGAGGGAGAGAGTATTATCTGAGAAAATACTGGCTGATATTCATGTTACACATGAGGTAAGTCATGAAGACCAGCCATGTAGCCAACCCATTTATCTGACAGAGAACCTGGGTCAAACTTTCAGCTTTCCATGGTCTTAATGACTTGACCACTTGTGAGGAAACAGCTATCATTCAAAAAATATATATGTTAGTATTTTAGAAAGAATGGGCATTTTGGGCACCAACAAAATTGGAAGTTCTTCATATTTCAGAATCTTCATATCATAATAAAGTTGAGAGAATTATATTTCTCAATTCTTCCAACTTTAAAGCATGCAAGTCATTTGGCATATTTGCAGTAGCGCAGAGCTTATGTCGTTTACACTGGTTTTTATTTATGCTAACAATTCTAAAATAATAATACAATTTCATCTGCTCAGATGCACTCTCAACTTTTATGAGTAAAATACACTTCTTTATTTCTCTTATATAATAAAAGGTGCCTGGACAAAAAAAGACCTGAATATTTTGCTGTTTAAAATTAAAAATTTAATTTTTAAATTAATTGAAATTTTAAAAATATTAAAAATTAAAATAATAGCTCAAATGATTATTAAAATAAAATTCCAAAAAGAAAAAAATATCTAAAAAAAAATAACAATGGTGATTAAAAAATATAATATAAAATGAAATATTTGCAAAAAAGAAGCTACAATGCACGTTTCCACTCATGTTGGAATGGAAACATGCACCATTCCTTTCATGCAGAATGAAGGTGAGTGAAATAGTTACCTTAAACTGAAAATTTTACTACATAGAAAAAGTGGAGACAAACTATATTCTCAAATTAGTTTATAAGTTTCTCACCAAAATTTACGAAATTTGGTATTTAGGCATTAATTTAAATCACAGAATCGAAATCTGGAAAAAAATTAGAATGCCACTTCTAAAGAAATCCAATTTTGTCTCAAGATAGATACGTTAGAGCATTACTATATATAAATCTATATATTCGAGATATGAAGAATTCAGACTGAATCTCATCAACAGGTCAAGTAGAATGGGAGATACAGAACAGTTCTCTCCTTTTTCGACTCAGAGTATATAAGACTAAAAAGTCATTATTTGTTTAGGAAGAAGATATTATTTTGCATGGGAAGGCAAATAAATAGAAACTGGTTTATGGAATACAATACTAACTTAAATCAAACTGATTGCAAATGATCAGAATATTAAAGAAAGAAAGGGAATTATCAGATTCAAATTCAAAAGTAAACTGAATGGTTGGGTTAATCAAATTCATAACAGATAAGGTTCCTGTTAAATTTGCTTTATATATATAAGAAGTCCAAAAAGGGTTATCACCATAGTGAATCCAAGAACAAAAACAGTTTTTCAACTAATCTGATCTCAAAATATGCATGTAAATATGAACAACTACTGAACTGAGGAGAATACTCTAGTAACTATTTTGGAAAACAACTATTCATTTTGTAATTTTTCTATAAGGATTTTGTAGTATGAAAGACAATATAATTTTTTGACTGTGCCTTTCTATGCATCAAATTTATTATTGATCAGACCTTCAAATGCAATAAAGTATAACATATAAAAGTAGGGTATTTATTGATGCTCTTTATGTATTATTATAAAACTTCTCTACTTTTCAATTACAATACTTATTATACTTTCAGTTTAAGAGTTGAAACAAAAAGAAAGAGGGAGAGGAAGAAAACTTTAATTAATCACTTTAAATCTTAAAAATCTAAGCATACAAATATACATAAAGTAACTTACTTAAATCTGGAAAGCCCGGGAAGCTGGAAAAAAAAAAGTACAAATAAATTAACAAATAACATGGAGAATAAGCCTTTTTACTTAGGGCAGCAATGTACAAAATATCTTCAAGAATGTTATGAAAATTTAAGGAATTAAATATACTGTATTTCTTCAAATTTAATATGCACCTTTTTCATATACTATAAAGATTACTAAAAACATAATGCATCTTAGTATCAAAGTTTTCTCAATTACTAATTATTCCAAAACAATTAATTTTTCTAAATTACTAGGCATTATTTATTTATAAAATAATTTATTTTAGAAAAATATTTGTTACATGTATTTTAGGATTTGATTTCATTCATTTCATTTTCTAAGAATTAAAAACTTTTTCTCTGTTGGGGAAATTTAAGGTACACATGCATTTTACAGAATAGAAGAAATATACTTTTATAAATTATTGGTGAAAATTTTAAAAACTCATTTTTATATACACCATGTATACAAAAACTCAGGCTTTATTTTTCCAACCGTTTAATCACAGACATCTGCTTCCAGTTATCAAAATATTTTAAATTATGCAAATATTCATAATTTGACATTTTTAATTTACAACATCAATTTTACAAAATAATTCAGAAATTTATCTGGTACCCCAGTTCTCATACTTACATTTAGGAAAATTCCATACTTATCATGAAACTTAGAGGGGGGGAGAACAGCTGAAAGCTTTGAGACTTTACATTACACCCAATAAGAAGTTTTTTAACCTTTTGTGTGCTACTTATTAAACATAATGTTTTTTGCATTTTAGCCATAAAATTCAGTTCAACAGCAATATCACAAAATAATTACAAAATGAGTATATCCTTTAGAATTTCCAATAGATAGTCTCTCGTGCTGGAGATAAAAATGTTTCCCCCCCTACAGTTTTGCCATTGCTCGCTTTGAAATCGTTGAGTTTGTTAATAAAAAAGTCACTGAAGTGTTACAAAATATGAAATCGATAATAAAACAAATTTCAAATTCCAAATTAGGGCTTCCAGACGCCCATTTTCGGTGTTTATGTTTATGTTAAGATTATGTTATTCAAAATTTGATGGCTCTAGGTACCATTGTTTTATCACAATGCAAGAAACATACATACATTTATGCAGATTCTTCATTATTTAATTTCTTTAAATATAACACAGGGCAATAATATTTGGTGGCAACAATTTGAAAAGTGAATCAACACAAAATGCCAAAATGAAATTAATAGCCTTTGTGGGCTAACATCCTTTGGTAAAAAAAAAAAAAAAAAAAAAAAAAATTGTAACAACAAAAAAAAAAAAAAAAAAAAAAAAAAAAAAAAAAAAAAAAAAAAAAAAAAAAAAAAGTTCCAGAAATTTCATTTCAAAATTGGGATATAGGACATCATTTTCAACTTGCCTTGAGAAATCAGTTAATAAATAAATAAACTCAAGATGGATTTTTACTTAAATGCCATTAAATAATATTCTTTTGCAATTTTTTAGTGTGTAACATTCTTTAATTAACAATTTAATTACAACTGGTATGCTAAAAAAATTTTCACTCAAGTAATTTATAAGTTTTCAAAGTCTAAAAATGCATTATTCATATTTTCATAAAATATTTTACAATCATAATCATACAAATTTCATTAAAGTACAAATACTTTTCATTGTTAATTAATCCAAGTAATATTACGTGCTGATACTGAAGCCTGCCAGTATTTTCTAGAACACTAATTTTGTAAAATACTGTACTTAATCCAATAATTTGCATAAAAAAGTGCACCACCTAATTTATTAGAATTAGGAACCTTTTTCAGAATCAATTTTCATTTTTAATTATGCACAAATAGAAATATTTTCCTCTTCTATTTGCCTTTGGGCCCCTAAATATGATCTTTAACTGAAAAATGGCATATCTCAGATATCTCAGTCAATTACCACATGAGGGACACACTTTCTTTTACTTTTTATAATAATTATAGGAAATCAGGAAAATGTACAAAGGTTACATTTCATAATTTAAGTAAAATTAATTTTTTTTAGTTCAAAAATTCAAAGAACATGAATACATGCATCATGTAAAACACTTCTAGTTGTAGAAATGTTTTACATGTCTTCTAGTTGTTGTCTATGACCAACGGTTGTGAAAATAAAGGCATGGCACAGAATTTTGGGGTCCAGTATTTATTTGGCCTTAAGAATGTGATCATTAAAGGATAATGTAGAGGAGATTGAGAGTAGTAGTAGACTATAGAGGAGTATAATATTATATCAAGTTAGCAGCAAATCTCATGACCACGTAAGGGCAATCGTGCAAATCAGAAGTTAATTTAAATTCAAAATATTCTGAAAATTATCAGAACCCAAGAAAGAGACATTAAACAAGAAAATATAATTAATAGAAAGACACTGATTAAATTAATAAAAGAAAGCTGCAGAACTAAGAAATAAACTTAATTTGAATTGAAAGAAATATTCAATTAAAAAGAAATATTCAATTCAATTAAGAATTAATTTGTTAAAGATACTAGTAGAAAATAGTATCTTTAACAAATTAAGTTTACCAGTATCAACTGACATAATTTCAAGACAAACCTTGTAGATTCAAAGCAATTGTTTCCTTTAGCGATTTTTTGGAAAAATATTGCACTCCTGCAGAGATTTACTAAAGTTTTTTCCACTGCAGACGAATTCCACAAATGCACAGCTTAAAATTAAATTTAAAACCTCCCCTCCCCCCCAAAAAAAAAGATAATAAAAACTGTAGAAACTGGAAGAGTACAACAAAAAGAATGCATGTGAAACTGACAGTTTTCTTTGTTAAAACTGAAACATTTGTTATGTGCATCATTGTCACAGTCTGGTGCATTCTGAAAAAATTTATATGGCACTTTATTAAAGGTCACTAATACATCAGAATCAATTGTTCCTCTTTTCTGCATTTGTTTTTGGCATATTACTACCTATCTTAAAAATTTAAGTTAGCAGCTATCATATTTTGTTAACTTACATATATACATACAAATAACATGATAGTATGAGACATACATAATCATATTTGATCTACTTGTACTAGGAAAATGCTCTCCAGGATAGGGTAGAGGAGAGAGCTGAAATTCATCTTCAGACAGGTCATCACAATAAGATGTTAAAAAATCTCTGTTCATCGTCGGAAACTCTTCATCTGTTTGACTTCCATCACTGGCAGAATCTAATCTGCTAAAATTTATAAATTATATTAGCCATAATAATACCTACATAGTATAAATTTTATATTGCACTCAGCCTCACAAACACACGATACATTAAAAGATGATACAACAGAGAATAAGATTTACAGAATGATGAATTTATTCATACATTAAAAATGTTAACAGTTGTGTAGATTTAACATTTTCATTCTTGGAAACCACAGCTTTGAGTTACATAGTGCAATGGATGCAATTTGCACATCCATTTTGATCATAATCACATTTATGCCTTTCCAGGTTTTTACGGCAATTAATATTGATGAAAGACAGAGCAGCATGTGGCAAATAAATTCCCAGCACAGAGAATGAAAGCTCAGTTCAGAATGATTTAGTTTTAGTCAAGCTTTATCTTTGTTGGTTAATTTTAAATTTTGGTAGACAAATTTGAAATTATTATTGGATGAAGCCTTATGTGCATGACTGCATCATTATCGTTATGCAAGAATCATATGATATGGATTAATTTTGAAATGATGCAGTTTAGAGTGATTTATTACATGCAAAAACTACAATGGTGTTCAAAAATTAAGAACGAGGGAGAGAAATCAGCATAAAAGCAGAACAAGAAAACAGAATGGACCAAAAGACCAATTAGGAAACAGATTTGGGACTAGTATTAGGACATAAGCATATATGACACATTGCAGGGAAGGAATGTCAGAAAGGTATTAAAAACACAGGTGGTACACACGCCGAATTTCGGTGAAAGCTATGGCATGATTTATAGTGATTCCAATGACATTGTTATAAACATGAGATATAGCCAACAGGAACAGGCAATCCAGAAAACATCACCTGGTTCACTTTACCCACGGTCACACCACATGGTCACAGGACATGTGGGATTTTTTCCAGAGATGTCTGGCAGCATGTGATCAGCTGACAATAATGCTTCTACAACTGAAAATGGTACTACAAAAGGAATAGCGAGTGATGCCTCAACAGCCTTGATAAACTTGGCCTCTGCATGGACACATGCAATTCCTGTATCATATTCAGGGGCGATCATATCCCCTTTTAACACTGGATTTTTCTTCCATGGGCCTGTTGCATAGATGTTTCTGTCTTTTCTCCAGTCACATCCGCAGCTGCTTTTACAAAATGCCTTTTTATCTTTTTTATTCCTTGTTTGGATGGCTTTAGTCACTTGCTATGATGTGGGTCAATGTGGAACACTTCTGAATGATGTTACATTCGAAAAACTATCTCATCCTTAAATTTTGCACACCAGTGTATTTTTAGGATAAAAAGAATAAATAAATTAAAATAAAGAGTCAGAGTACTCTTGAAAATTAAATTTAGTTTTGATTTATATATCATATAAAGAGAAAAAGGCTCAGCAACAAAAAAGCATAGCTGCCAACCTTGAACTATGAAAAACTGGTATGTGCTCGCATGAAAACCAGGGATGCTGTTTATAAAATATACAAATATAAACTGACTCAAATTCTCCTTTTAATACCTGATTCAGGTTATTGAACTATTAACAATTTTTAATTCAATATTCCAAAGCTGAAGTTCTTTAACTAATATAATTTTGCAAGTATCTTATGCTTTTATGCTGAGAAAAATCTAAGTAGGGAAATGAAGCTTTTATTTATCAAAGTACTTTAAAAATATGATAAAAAGAAAGCTAATACCGTATTTACGTGAATCTAATGCGCATCGTTTTTGGCCAAATGTAGTATTCAAAATTGGGGTGCGCATTAGATTCGAGTGCAAAGTTCGCCGATGACCGCGAATTGACCCTCGACAGGAAAAATTAAGCGTGCTGCACCGCACATTGTTGCACTGAATTTCTGTTGCCTGGAAAAGCATCGAAGCACCAAAGATTGTGAAATCTTTCAAGAAATGCTGAATTTCAAATTCATTGAATGGCAGTGAAGATGACGAGCTCTAGAACGCCGAGGATGACGATGATGATGATGAGGAGGAAAGAAGAAATGAATCTGCGTCTGACGAAAAGAGCTGCGAGGATTCCAGTGATGAAAACAGTGAATAAAGACGTTTACTATTAATCACTAATTGTAGAAACTGTTAGCTAGATAGAAATGTTACGATTTATTTCATGTTCATATTTTACGATAGGTACCGTATATACGGTAGTGGTAATTAACAGTGATTGTTTCACATAACAATTGCCCACTAATAGGTTAATTCTATGTTCCACTACTTTATGTATAAATCCATTGTTGTATAAAATATGGTATCTAAATTTAAATAAAATTATGATACCATTAATTGATAGTTTATATACAAATCCACTGTTGTATAAAATAAGATTCAATAAATTCCTCATATCATTGATGCGCATTACATTCGCCGACAAACAATTTTTTTATTATTTAAAGTTTTAAAATGGGGATGCGCATTAGATTCGATGGCGCATTAGACTCGCATAAATACAGTAATTAATGTATTTACTATTGTGCTGATAAATTTAACAATATACCATATATTTGGGTAAATCAAAATTAAACACAAATATTAAGTAATTACGAATTTTTGGAATCCGAGGATACGTGTCTCGAATTTCAACTCGGCGCCGTTCTGTAGATATTCGAGAAAAAAGAATTTGGCACGTAGCCAAATCCCTGTAATAGGGAAAACCCAAGAAAGAAAATGGAAAATGTAGGGAAAATATAGGGGAAAATTAGTTTTTAATTAATATCTCGGCTAATTAAAGTCCCAAGAAGACGCGAATGGTCAAAATGGCGTGCCACACACCTGTGGAATCCAACGGCGTGCTTCATTAAGCCTGGGAGCCAGCCGTTTTGGAGGAGATGATGTTACTTCACCCTATATATATATGTGGCCAAGTGTCTGTTTGTCGATGATAGTTTATTGGTTGCTTGCGTAACTGTACTAGCCAATGGGGGTGAAGTTGCCACGGTGCGGGGTTGCTGTTTCAATTGAGACGTAGACAATTTACTGTAAAACTTGCCTTTGCTATGACCATCCATAAGTCTCAAGGCCAAACGCTTAAGCGTGTTGCCATTTTTTTACCTGAGCCCGCATTTGGACACAGTTAACTTTATGTTGCCTCTTCAAGAATTCGTGAAAGAACTGACGTAAAATTAAAAATAATTGATGGTCCTCTGCAAGGACATGCCAGTGCAAGGCAAGCTTAAAAATGATGGAAAGATCCACACAAGAAATGTTGTGTACAAAGAGATCTTTGACATGTGAATTAACATTTCATTATTTAAATCACCTAAGCAATTAAGCAAGCAGAAGGGAGAAACCCCGTGGGGCAGTAACCAAAGGGGCATCCTCGCCGCCTGTACTGGGTAATTCAGTTTAAATTAGTAGACACCTTTGTAAATGTACAAATCATTTTAATTACAATTTATATATCTAGAACAGTGGTCATTTCGTATGACCGCTGGGCTTTCTAGTATGTCTGTCTATAACAGATTAAGGAAACTCAGGCAGAAGTTAAGTTTCATGAATTTAGGGAATTTTAATTATAGCTGATTTTTTTTTTTTTTTTTTTTTTTTTTTTTTTTTTTTTTGTAAAGACTAAAAATTTTAAAACTGGGAGTTTGAGATTTAAGAGGGAATGTTATGAAAAATTTGGGAAGTTGGCAGCTATAGGAAATTTTTTTTTTTTTTTTTTTTGGAGAAAAAGTGTTAAAGCAGTAAGAAATTAAGAAAAATATAATCTTAAAAATGTAAATCAGGAAATTTTGAACTCAGTAACAATTTTTGAATAATGTAGAATAAAAATTTTGTGCATTAAATTTTTTCATAATAATTACTATTTTTAGACTTCTATTGATAAAAACAATCATACAGTTGGGCAAAATTTGCATTTTGACCAATGGTATACAGAACTATGGGCAAAAATGAACATATTCTCTTGTTCTTATTGTTGCTACTTACCTGCACAGATGATAAACAATATTGAATAATTCAATACATTAATTACACTGACTAGCAACTGTCACATTTAAAAGTCGTTAAAAGCAAATTCTTTTCATTCCATATCTTTAGGAATATTTTAATGCTGGTTGTAGATTTGAACAACTCTCAAATTTCACGGAAAAAATACAACAAGCACACATAGGATAACAGTAAATGATGAAATGTTTATACAGTTAAAAGTCGTTAATTCGGACTCGTCGGGACTTCAGCGATTCCGGATTATCGATTTTTCCAGATTATAGATCATCAGTTTAAATCTGGTAAGATGGCAAGCAGAAATTATAAAATTAAAAATATGAAACCGTAATTTATGAAATAAAGAACAATTATGATCTAAAAGGTACTAAACTTTACAAAAAAAAAAAAAAAAAAAAAGGCTTAATATTTATTTGTTTACTTTATTAAACATTTCTTTCAATGTAAGTTGTTTAAGTTGCTTCCTTTTATGTGATAATACGTTCTCTTTAATTCTATAAACAGACATAATTTCTTGTTCAGTTACAAAGTTCCGCTGTTCAAGTCCTATAATTGCTGTGTCGAGAATACCGACTAATTTCTCAATCAAATTTTTTCGTTTTCAATAACCTCTGTGTCACTTTCTTCGCTAACGGAAGTGAATTATAATGACGAGGAATTTGATTTAAATCATATCAAAGACGGAGTATATCGAGATGAAATACTACATTTAGTAAGGAATTATAAGCCAAATAAAACATCTGCCCTGAAGATAAGGATAGCGCTGAAAGATCAACTTCAAATTCATTGCGCGCCGCAGCGTCCCCTCCCCTGCTACAGAGCAGCGAAATTGATAAACAGATTTCGGAATGTTTATAGAAACAAAGGATATGCCTTTATCTATTTTTTGCAGCAATTCCACTTTTGTTTGATGGACATCGAAACATGCTTTCGCTTTCTAGATCCTTTGGGAGCTCTAGCATCGGAAATTCTATTTGACATAATCGAAAGTTCAAGCTTACTTTTATAAAATTGCTCTAACAGTCTGCAAAAAATAATAAGCCAGATCCAATTCAAAGATTAAGGAACAACCCAATCTGCAACATTAACTGAAATATATAATTAGATAATTTTAGTTTATACCGTCTGTTATACATAAAACGCACATGCGTAAACGTATTATGCATAGCCGTAAAGTCTTACGCGCACGCTGAAACACACGACGCATGCGCAGAAAGTTTGTAGCTTTGAGGTACGGATTATGGGTATCAGAATTAACGACTTTTGACTGTAGTACATTCCACATTACGATTTGCACTTGATAATATACACATATATATATATTAACAGTGTGAAGGCTGATCAGTAAATGAGAAAGAATTTTGCATCAAATTTTTTGGAACAACTTATTAATTCTTTTTACTTCGCAATCTTTTTAGCACCCAATATAATGAATATAAGTTACAAATAATTCATATAAAAAAAACTGATCAAAATTTCATGCTAAAATAATTAAACTATGAAGTTCAATTTTTATTTTTAAATGTTCTTATTTTTCAACAATTTCTATATATATATATTTAAAAAACATGTTCTCTTTTATGCAATGTTTCAAAACTAATGGAACAGAACTTAAAAAGGTATAAAACATAGTAAAACAAATATTTTTCAACATAGAAAGCATGTTTGGACAATAAGCAATTAAGTGCTGGTGTGTACTTTTCAACCCTCCTTATTACACTTAGTCTTTTGCAAGACAGATAATGATGTCTGGCTTTTTTTTTATTCATCTACCAATCATTCTATCACAACATTCAGTTGCATATTTTAGATACTAAAGACAGCCTGTACATGTTTCAGATAACACAGACACAATTTTGATTTCATATTACAAAGAGCAATCATACTCCTAGGAAACACTACAAAATTCAAAAGGTTTCAAAAGTAACCCATGCATTCAAGTAAGTACAATCAAAAGTCGTTAATCTGGACTCGTCGGGACTTCGGCGATTCCGGATTATCGATTTTTCCGGATTATGGATCATCAGTTTAAATCTGGTAAGATGGCATGCAGAAACTATAAAATTAAAAATATGAAACCATAATTTATGAAATAAAGAACAATTATTATCTAAAGGAGTATCAAAATTTAAAAAAAAAAAAAAAAAAAAAAAAAAAAAAAAAAGCAAAGCTTAATATTTATTTGTTTTATTTATTAAACATTTCTTTTAATGTAAATTGTTTAAGTTGCTTCGTTTTTTATGTGATAATACATTCTCTTTAATTCTATAAACAGACATAATTTCTTGTTCAGTTACAAAGTCCCGCAGTTCAAGTCCCGTTAATTGCTGTGCCGAGAATACCGACTAATTTGTGAATCGAAATTTTTTCGTTTTCAATAACCTCCGTTACTTTCTTCGCTATCGGAAGCGAATTATAACGACGAGGAAGTTGATTTAAATCATATCAAAGACGGAGTACATTGAGATGAAATACTACATTTAGTAAGGAATTATAAGCCAAATAAAATAAAAACATCTACCCTGAAGATAAGGATAGTGCTGACAGATCAACTTCCAATTCATTGCGGGGCGCGGCGTTAAAGATAAACAAAAGTTAAAGTTTAGATAAACAAAGGATATGCCTTTATCCATTTTTTGCAGCAATTCCACTTTTTGTTTAATGGACTTCGAAACATACTTTCGCTTTGTAGATCCTTTACATATTAGTAAATATATATCAGAAATTTTATTTGACATACTCGAAAGTTCAAGCTTACTTTTATAAAATTGCTCTAACACTCTGCAAAACATAATATGCCGAATCCAATTCGAAGATTAAGGAACAACGCAATCTGCAACATTAACTGAATTAGATAATTTTAGCTTAGCTTATACTGTCCGTTATACATTAAACGCGCATTCGTAAACGTATTTTGCGCACACGCATATTCGCAGCCGTAAAGGTCTTACGTGCATGCGTGAAGGTATTACGCGCATGCATTGATGCATGTGCAAAAAGTTTGTAGCTTTGAGGTCCGGATTATGGGTGTCCGGATTAATGACTTTTGACTGTATATAAGTATACATATTCCATACATTTTATGAGTTGAAGTTCATAATAATACATTCTTACATTCATAATTATATGCAACTTACTCAATTCTGAACTCTCCATTACTGGTTGATGGTTCATGAAGAAAATGTTCAGTGGGAGCTAGAGGAGGATAAATCTGTATATATGTGGATTTTCCTATAGTGAATCCAATACTAGAAGGTGAAAATGTGTCATCTTCTGAATTTACCCTAGGAAGGATGAAGAAAAACTATAATAGAAATATAACTTGCAGTAGGTGAGTCTGTGAATATAATTTATGAACATTTTTATTTCAGTTACTTAGATTTATGGAAAGTCACATTTTTTAAATGTTGATGATTATTAAATTTAAAAAAATACTAAATTTATTTGAAAAATCACATATTCTGAGGATTTTAGTTTTAAAATAGCACACTTAAAAATTTTAGACACAAAGACAATTTGATGCAAGAATATATTCTTCTATTCATTATTACAGGGAAATAGAATATGACAGACACTTAAGATAAATAAATTCTGTAAAATTCCAACTACAGGATTTATTTAATATACTGGGAAACTTAATTATTTCATAAGAATCAAAATTAAGAAAATATAAAACTGTACAATTAGGTTTAATTTTTGAATTGCTTCTGCTAAAATGATAATTTCATGCATTATATGATTCAGGTTTTTTATCCTCTTATAACATCCTTCTGATATAAAATATGTAAATATTTAAATAGATATTCTAAATTTTATATTCTTTGGCTAATATCTTTTTGGTAATTTTCTCACATTTCTTAGAATCGGAAAAAGCTTGATAGGAAGAAAAGCTTTGATCTATCAAAGTATTTTTAAACACAGTGAAAATAAAATTAATGTTTAATGCACATACTATTGGGTGCATAAGCTTAATAATGTAACACTTATGGACGTAAAAAAATTTGGATTATAAATATTAACTGATTAAACATTAATTGAATCTCTTAAGTAAAATTTTAGCATCTCTACAGTAGATTAAGACATTTCAGATAAAATAAAATTTAATAAGAAAAATTACATTAAAAAACTCTAAGGGTGGGAGAATGAAACTTGCACCATTCAAGTTTTATCAATTCAATAAATTTCATTTATTGCTGAGAAATACTTCAGTAAAAGCTAAAAATTAAAAACTGGGAAATTTGATGATTTATCAGGAGATGTTGCAGAAACTCGAAAGTCTCTCAGCAAAACATGAAAAGTTGCCAGCTATATAATAACTTCTGATATACCTCAAACAAAGCATATAAGCATATTATAAATTAGCAAACAGAAAAATATACCATTTTTATCAGCTACCGAAATCTTAAAAATTCCTCATTTTCAAAAAAGTCTATCCTATAGAAATATTTTCATGAAATAGGAAAACAAGCAAGTTTCAAAATAAAACATAATTTTTAATATTGAGATTATTTGGATAAACTGATACACAAGTATGCTAAATTTCACATGAAATGCATCCTGCAAGGATGTAAAATCTAAATGTTGAAATGTGGATATACAGAATAACAACTAAATACTACAATACAAACTGAAAATAATAAAAATACTGCAATTTAAAAATTGTAGTAATTTATGACTATCCACACCCCTAGCAAAAACTCATTGCCCATTTTGGTGAGAAACATTTGGATATTTTTATGTCTACTTCAACAATGTATTCAAAGTCACCTATATTTTTACATTCTTCTTTTTCCATATGAGGCATTCACATTCCTCATAGTTAATCACTCTAACCAATAGTTGTATTTGGGGATAATCTTCAGAGTGTCTCACTGACAAATATTCCTTTGCTCAACTAAAGATAGATAGCAGCTGCTGTAAATGAGATATGCCTATTTCCAAATCAGTTTCTTACCTGCATTCTGTTTTTAGGCTTAGAATTTTTCATAATGCAATTCCACAAAATTCAGTCATTTAAGTACTACTCCACAGAAGGGGATACTGTTGGGCAGAAAACCATATTCCTTGAGAAATGCAATACTTTCTTTCCATCACCAAACTTCCAGCAAAAGAAATAGCTATTCAGTAAAAACAACAGTTGAATTTTTAAAAGTGCAAATACACGTCTACTCAAAAGCATGCTTTTCGTTGAGGGTGTGGATAGTCATAAAGTAATAATTATTAAGTAATTTTGCATTTTATTACAGAAATAGTAAAACATTTTTTTCAAAAATAAGTTAAACTGTTATTAGTAACTTTATTTTCTTTAGCCACCACTTATAAACATAAGAACAGAAGTTTTTAATTTGAAACGTTAGTGATTTTATTAACTGATGGGTTTACTATTATATTCACTCAACAAGTTATGTAGATTTTTGGCCATCTATACAATTATTTGGTATAAATGTGTTGTTGCAGCTAGAGATGGGCAAAACCGCTCCTTTAACAGATCAGATCAAAACCATTCACTCACTTAAGTGAATCAATTCTTTTTAATGATTCACTGCTCACTAACAATGACTTTGGTGAATGTGCTCGAAACAGGTGGGGATCAAGAATGGTGAACAATGATGAGGTAAAAGCAGGAAGAATCGAATAAGAAGTGGAATCGGTGGAATCAACTCAATCAAACCGCTCACTCCCTAGAAAAATTGCTCACCAAAATGAGCAATTTCTTTCAACTGTACTTTTGAGATCCCCTAAAAACACCTTTCTAAATCGAACAACGATGAAATTCTGCAATAAAAAAAGGGGCTAAAAGTTAAAAAATAATGAAAACTAAACTCATTTTTGTTAAAGATTGCATTATTTTATTACTATAATTGATATTTTGTTGCTACTGCAAAGAACAGTGTAAAAATAAATTTTTAGATTGGAGGCAGAACAGGAAACTGTCTGCTGACAATACCAGCATTCCCCCCCTTTTTTTATCTAGTTTGACAAAATGATACTACATAGTGTTCAAGGTTCTTCTATGCAGTTAGGGTCCACATTTTGTTCTGCAACCTTGAAAAAATACATTAGATGCAAAAATTTATGTTTAAAGAAGATTAAAGAGAAATTCACAGCTCTTGACTACAAGACATCAGTAAAATAAAAATATAATTTATTATTTTACATAAATGTTACAATAACATTCTTCAAAAAAGGTAATACCTAAAATACACAGCTCTACTGTGGTACAGTATTCAAAGAATCAAAATGAAACTTAAAGGAACATCTCCGAGGAAGCGAAAAGAGCAAATAATCAAGACTCCACAGAAGCCAGATTTGTGGCTACAGCACAAATGCCAGAGAGATGAAAAAAGTGAATAATAAAGACTTAGGAATCAGATCTGTGGCTAGAGAAGGAGTGAGCAGCTGGGAATCTGAGGAGGAAACTCAGCACTTATAATCCATGTACTATAAACAGATCCTAGCACTGTCAGATGGAAAAAAATTCCATCCATCTGCCAACAGGAGTGGTCAGTTTCGCTGAAATGCATCAGTTTAATTAATGTTTTGTTTTTTAAATAGTAGATGGAACACAAGCAAACCAAAAGCATATACACACATATATATATAAAACACATACATACTTAATAAAAAGGTCAGAGATATTTATGGTAAAAATAAAGGAAAGAATGTTAGTGTTTACATAAGAGGGATGAAATTTTTGACACACTTCCCAGCAAGAGCTATCTGTAAACTGTTTAAGAACTACTGCTCCATTTTCATTGGACCAGAGATCACTTGCTGAGTACAATGAATCGTTTCTTTGAATCAATTCTGGAGAGTGGACTGTCCACCTCTAATCACAATCACTTTAGCAGAAGTTACCAAATTTTCAGAGTGTCTCCCAAACTCAGGTAACCACGCTCATAACAATTCAGTTAAGCAAACGCTGCCTTTTTTACATGTATTTGTTTTGTTATATTCGAAGTTCCAAAAAGTTCCAGTTGGTTTTTATAAATAAATTGTGATACTTTTTCCCTTAAATTTCAAATATGTGCTGGTGGAATTTGCATTTTTTTTACACAAAATCAGATGACTACATACTTGGGAGAAAAAAATTATACAAAGATTTGGAAACAAATGTCAGCATTTTATTTTTTTAACGAATCATGTAATCCTAATTTAGCAATCAAAATTGGTATTTTAAAATGCTAAAGTATGTTATCGTTTCATGTGTTGACAATTTTTGTCTATCTATAGTTTGGGAATCTTTTTAAAAAAGACTTTAGAAAACCATCAACCTGCACCTGACAAGCAACTTTTACCTTTTCATTTACTGAATTACACTAATGTTTTTGCATAAAATCATAAATAGCAATTTTTTCTGGCTTTAAAATTATTGAATGAAAGGGGAATGAAGTGAAAAAGATGAAAACTACCTTGTACTTATTTTTACACAAAAATTTCTTACTTATTCAACCTCAGGCTTAGTTTTAACTCTGTGAAGCATTTAAAAAATTCATGACAAATGAACTATGTAACCAATACCAAATTTTATAATATTGAAATAGAGGCAAATAAGCTTAAGTTTTTGTATACCCCTTAACATATTTCAAAAATATTAAATATGTCCATTTTTGCTAATATGATAGACAGCTATCGGATAATTCATTTTTCATTCTGCTTGCATACGACTGCATTCAGATTAACCAGTGCCATAGCATTAGTGATAATAGAAATTTGCATTAAGTGGGGTACAAACACAATGCCCATGATAAATTGTCACAAGGAACAATAATGTGAGATTAAATCTAAAGACTGAGGTAGTATATAATTTCCTCGTCCTACATGTTCTGTCCATGTCGAAGGTAAATTTTTATCAAGATGTTCATGAAAATGCACTTACTGAGACTTCAACCATGGCTGCCAGCCAGACATTCTAGCAGTTACATCAGGACAGCACACACATAAATCACAGCAACGTCGGCGACAAGAAATAGATGCAGTCCCATGAATTTTCTGGCTGTTCATCAGACTTGCTACCAATGCACTATGACAGCAAACAAGGGAAGAGGTGATAATTTTTTATATGGTTTCTATGTTAATGGTAAATTCTGACAATGACTTAAACATTCTCAATAATGTTTTTTTTTTTTTTTTTTTTTTTTTTTTTTTTTTGTGTGATGGAAACCAGACAACTGTCTTATTGAAAGAGATAATGAGCATTACATTTATTCAAATGAGCATCACCCAGCTTTCCAAGACAATCTTCCCAATACTTTGTAGACATCTCTTATAGCAGCAAAACTGAAAACACTTAAGGTTTGCCAAATATGAAGGAAAAAAAGAAAAGCAGTTTACCTTTATTTGAATGTAATAAAATGCAGTTATTTTTTGTGAACATCATAATTGTGCACCAAAGCACTGAATGTGCTATTCATATTGCATCACAAGTAGCTATGAAATGACATCATACCAAATAAGCAAAAAAAAAAAAGAATAAATAAATAAAATAAACATCAAATGCAGCAATATTCTCTCCTAGATTATCAGTCATTTGTGTGTTCAAGTGATGATCTTTTTGTTAGAAAACAATCGAACTGTTGCAAGATTGTGGGGGCAGTGCAAAATGGCAATATAAATATCAGAATGGCATAGTACACTGTGAAAATTCTTACCCAATAGAATTCATATGCCTTGGACTGCATAAGAAGAACAAATGTTTTTGACAATATACAACTTTATGACTCCTGCGCAATCTGAAATCAACCTAGCAAAACCTACTTTGCATTTTACATTTATTCTAGATATGTTTATATATATATAACAATAATGCAGAGCATACATAGCTTCTCCAGGTTCATCATCAGATGCATAAAGTAGGCTGTCTGGATTGGAACTGCATTGAGCAGGCAAGCCACATAGGAGACTCTGAGCTTCAGAACAATCGAAAACTTCATCTACGTCAGACTCAGTAGATGAAACATCAGATAAAACATTTGTAAATGAAGGCATCCTAAAAGTAAAACATTTTATAATCAGAAAAATAAAATTTATTACCTAGAAGAGCTAAAATAGAGTAACTATTTTACATTCCACTATCAAAACTAAATTGATGAGCTTAATATATTTGAAAATAATAAACTTTTACACAAATAAACACATTACGCAAAATAAACAGTGATCTGTTCATCGAAACTTTTCACAACAGGAACAGTGAGAGATTAGCAGTATTTTTGCCAACTTTCATGGCTGATGGGAAAATATGTAAATACTGAAAAAAGCAGCTAAATTCCTTTCCAATTTCAATTTTTAACAGTTTGACAATCACAGACTCTACTTTAATTTGATAGAATAGGGATTAATTGTAGATGTAGGGATTAATTGAACATTTTATAGTTTGGTTGCGTGTAATATCTGTTAGATGAATATATTTTTCAATTAAGATGTAATGTACTTTTGTCTTTTATAAACACTTCTTTCATTCTGATAGATTCCTTAAATAAACTAACTCCACCAAATTATTAATGGAAGTTAAAATAATAGATACATTCTAAATAAAAAAAGCCAATGTTGAAAATGTAATAACAAAAAGATTAGTAAATTAAGAGCATAGCCAATAGATGGAAAAGTTGCTATATGCAGAAAACTTCTTCATGAAATCACCAGCATTACTGCCATTTTGATGGTATTTATATCTTACATGTTCTTTGCAGAAGTGGTTCTTTTAAAAAATTCTTCTAGTTAAAAAAAAAAAAAAAAAAAAAAAAAAAATTCTCCACCAGTACTTATACATTTTCTTATCAACCATGAAACCTGCCAGGCTTATGGAATCATGTTGGAATTACAGGAGCAGATCATTTTTAATGATTAAAATAATAAATAGATACAAATTTCGGATATAGGAAATAAAAAATTACAGAACTCAAGCTTTGTGATTATCTAACAAACAGCCATACACATTTTAAGAGGTGGAGAAAAAGTATCACAAAATTAGTTCATAGCATGATGATTAACACAGTGTAAAGTTCCAAGAATTTAAACAAGTCTTGTCAATGTTGCTTGAGATATATCAATCAAACTAAAATAGTTAAAATTTTGCATCAAATAACATAAATCTTATGTCCGACAAGAAGAAACAAACAAATCTTTGACAGCCCATTTGGAAATTTAATCACTGTTTTCATTGGTTTTGCAACAATAATTCATATAGCTTCTTCAGTAGGTGAAAGGAGCTTCTTTGAAGCTTTTCGCATTCACAAAAGTTTATATATTTGTTAATGGCATTAGCTTCAATTCAGTTCTTTCTAATGCTTTTAGAATTCTAATATCTTAATCTTTCGTTTCCTTACTACTTTCCTTAGCAGATGGTGCTACATTCATATAAAATTTGTATTACTTATTTGCATTACATTAATACACTAACACTTCCTGTATGGCCATCAGCATAACAAGCATGTTATTATCATTACTTCCAAATGCTATTTTAATTGTAAACTGTAACAAATTTATTTCTCAGTTAGGCTCTACAAAAAGCATAGAGGATGGCTATGTTAAAAATAAATAAGAGAAGGTGCCAAGCTTGACAAAAATTTAAGAGTTTTATTTAAAAGAAAAAGCTTTTTTTTTTTTTTTTTTTTTTTTTTTTTTTTTTTTTTTTTTTTTTTTGAGGGGTAGAAATTGGAAATAAAGTGGACCAGGAAAACATTTTAAGTCTCTAAAAATTGTACTTCCAATTAACGTAAAATTCAGCTTAAGAAAGGATGATGGTATAATCTTTTTTGTTTAATCAAAAAAAGTTTATTTTTAATGAAGTGTACTTATGCTGAAATTAATCAATATTATTTAATAATAATATTTTTATTATCTGTATCATGTAACTGTTCCCAGTCGCAGATTCTCAATAATGGTCTCTGTGATAGAAGCCTTGTGGAAAGAAGTAACAAGCATCATATTTACTTAACTGTGACATCACCTAGCTTTCTAATATGTTCAATAAAACACTCCCAATAATGTGCAAACATGGCAATGATTTGATTGGTAAACAAATTTACCATATTTATGAAACACATTGAGTGTTTCATAAATATGGTAAAAATAGGATTATAACCTTTATTTCAATATAATAAAATAAAGTTTTTTTTTTTTTTTTTTTTTAAATTTTATTTTTTTATTGTTAATGGGGCATCAACCCAAATTATATGCTAAAGCACTAAGCAGTAGCCTATTCATATCACATCACAAGTAGCCATGCAATGACATCATTAGGAATAAGGTGAAAGAACAAACATCAAATGCAGCAATCTTCCACCAGAGATTTTCAGTTGCTTCTTTATTCAAGTGACAATCTTTTTTTCTCAGGAGACAATGAAACTGTTGTAAGGCTGTGGAGCACTCCAAAATCGTAAAATAGATGCTGAAGCAGCACAATCCACCACTCTGTAGATTCCTACATAATTGAATTCATGTGGCATTGACTGCACAAGAAGACATAAATGCTTTAACTAATGTTAAACAAAACCTATATTTTTAAAGCTTCGTGCATAATCCGAAACCATTCCGGTAAAATTTATTATGAGTTGTTTTTGTTATTCTGTATTTAATACAATAGTAATTTTTTTGGTCATGCAGCTGTGTCACTGGGATTGCCATGTAGTTAGATATCATGCCAACATTTATATTTGTGGCTATTTGGCTGCCATTAAAAAATAAATAAATAATAATAATAATAAACTCTCAAATTTTGTAACAGTTGTGCAATTTACTTGCCATTAATTTTATACAATATAATAAAATAAGACATACGTAATTTCTCTTGTTTCATCATCGAATGGATCAAGTAGATCATTTTGACTGGAACTTTGTTTAACAGATACTTCAAAATGAAACCTCTCAGATTCATTGTCTTGATCAGATCTGTAACAGTCTGAGAGTACAATATGTTCTTTCTCAAGTGGTTCACCGATATCAGACTCAGGAGATGAAACATCAGATAAAGTATCTGTATCAGAAGACATTCTAAAAGTAAAATTGTTCATAATTAGGGAAATGTAAATTTATTACAAAGAAAAGTTATGATGGAATAAGAATTTTGCATTTCACCAACTAAAACTGAACTGACAAGAGTAGCATATTTTAAAATAATAAACTTTTTGCTGATTACACATTACAGTAAATAAAGAGTGATTTATTCTTTAAAAATTTTGCTGAAATGAATGGTGCAAATTTGGGCAGATTTTTAACAACTTTCACAATTGAAGGGAAAATATGTAAATATCAAAACATGAAATTAAACTCTTTCTTGATCCTACTTTTGAACAATTTGACAGTCAGAGGCTTCCAGTTCAACCTGATGGAATGGGTATATGTACTAATTATGGAACCTACAATGTGTCTGAATACTTTATAATTTGATGTCCGGAATAGCTATGGATGAATATGCTTTCAACCAAAATGTTATATGCTTTCAGCTGTAACAAATACTTATTTAACTCTGGCAACTCTCTTAACTAATGCCACTTGTTTATTAATGGAAGATAAAAGAATGGCTACATCCAAAATTAAAAAGTTAATGTTGAAAATATAGCATAATAACAAACAGATTGGAGCAAAAATCAGTAAAATTAAGGACAAGTTCACTAGATGGATCAGCTGCTACATGCAGAAAACACACTCATTAGATTGCTAACACTATTGCCATTTTGGTGATATTTATATTCAGCAGGTCTATTAAAAAATTTCTCTGATTTATTGAAAAAAATCTGGATTTTCTCAACTGATATCTATGAATTCTTCCATCAACTATGAAACTGTAGAGAGATCCCACTAAGCTTACAACAATCATTTCAGCAGAAGTTTCAGGAGCATATTTTTTTCATTATTAAATTAGATAATAAAGAATACAAGTTATGGTTGCAGCATATAATACACTTAAATAATACACAATGAGAAAGGTGAGAAAATCACAAAATATGTTTATAGTATGATGATTAATACAGTGCAAAGACCAAAGAATAAATGTGGGAATTTATAGCATATGTTGTCAGTGTTGTTTGAATCAAACTAAAAGCATATTAAAATTTTACATCAAAGAACATGAATCTTACATCCAAAAAGAAGAAATACATAAGTCTTCAAGAAACTATCACAATTGGAAATTTAATCACAATTTTGACTTTGGTTCCACAAAAATTACTCATAGAGCTTCTTCATTAGGTGAAGTGAACGTCTTTGAAGCCTTTCACATTCACAAAAATTTATCTTTTTTTAGTTTGTGATATGAATTTCAAGCCAGTCCTTAGTAATGTTTTTAGAATTCTCATATATTAATTTTTCACATTTTATTACCCCTTTCCTCAACAAATGCACAAAATTTGTATGAGTTATTTGCATTACTTTAATATAGTAATTCAAGTGCGAAGTAATGAAGGACATGCATATCTGGTTGGTAACAAAGTTAAATATGTATTTATCCCGTGCCCTCCACTTACCTAGGCATAAATTCTCAAAATTTAAAGCACACTCTAAAAGTGTGCTTTGAAAGTTAATAGCAAACTACTTCGAAATTACATGGCCTTACAAGGGCTTAGTGCTTCTGAGTCATTTAACATGCCTCGGTTATAATACAAAAAATATGGCACAAAACTACATAGAAATATTGCACCATGGGAGTGAAATTTCAACCCGGAAGAAAAAATACGCAGATGTTTGCTATATAAACTGCACTACATAGATCGTTGCATTATGTAAATGCATGATACATGCTTTCCTTAAATGCACTAAATAAGAACATTAAACTAAATAAAATTCACAATGCAAAAATACAATATTAAATTATGATGCATGTAAAAGTCTCTTTGTATGCACATACATAACATATACGGTTACACATCACATTAGGTTAAACAAATAATGCATAGATACAGTATTAAATTATGATGCATCAACTAACAATTATTATACACATGCTATGCAGCGTGCACCCTTGTGTATCACATAAATACCTATATATAAAATATAATAAAAAGTCATTAAGCTAAGTAAAATACACAATATGTAAATAAAATATTAACCCTTTGTGGCTCAGTGTTCCACTATATGGAACACCCAAATTGAATCGCTTCCGAAACCTTTAAATTCAACCGTAAATAGATAAAAATGCCTTTATAATATACTTTAAACTTTTCTTTTTAAACAGTAGATAGCAGCATATCACAAGGAGACACAGAATTTTCATTTATGTGTTATTAAAATCCACTTTTTTCAAGTAATTTTCTCTATTTTTTTTATGATACAAAAAAATTTTATTTGGAAAAAACATTAGGCAAAATTTTGCTGGCTGTACTCCAAATTATTTGTTCTATATTTTTTTAATCTTTCATACAAAAACCATAAGCAGAATCATTGAATAAAACCAAGTGTTCCATTAGCGGGAACACTGTGCCTTTAGCGATCTCATGCTGGTACGAATCAGAACATCTGTGCTTAGGAGAGAACATCCGTTGTTTACGTTTTCTGTTTCCGTTGTTTTGGGGAGGGGGATGAATTCAAACAAAGCAGTACTGAGGGGTAAGGTGTGTTTTGTGTTATGAAAGTCCTAATATTGGCATCTCGAATTTTTTGGGAGTAGTTTTTAGGCAGGAATTTTATTAGTAGCTTGACTCATCTTTACTTAGACCTGCACTAACTTTTTGATGTCGCATTTTAGTCTCATTCTCGTTTATTTTCAATAATTGTGTAGATATTTTTTGTGTATGTATATATTATAGGCTTATTTTTCTTTATTGTTAATATTAATCGTAGTTAATTTTTTTATTATTAATTTTCCGTAAATGGCGCAGAGAGGTCTAACTCTTTCCACCTATGACCAAACATACACACACACTATCTTGTTTGCATTGTAGCTAATTATCTGGACAGAAAATAAACAACAATGAATAGTTCAAGTAATATATTAATTGCACTGATGTCATCCAAGACTTAAACTCCTTGAGTTAAAAGCAATATTTTTTTCATTTCACGTCTTATGAAAAAATGTGATGGAAGAATGTTAGTATGAAGATTTTTGTAATTCTCAAATTTCACTGAAGTAATGCAAAAACCACACTAAGAAAATTCAATAAATGATGATAATTTATAGTAATTTTCACAATACAACTTTTGACTGATAATAGATTAGTATCTTTTAAGTCTGAAAGTAAATGAAAATGAATTTTACATCAAATTGTTTGGAAGAATTTGGATTAATTAATTTTTACTTGGAAATCCTTTTAGCACCAAACATAATGAATGAATGAAAATTAATTCATATAAAAGAGCTGTCTGAAATCTTATACTAAAGTAATTAAACTATGAATTTCAAATTTTGTTTTTAGATGTTCATATTTTTCCTCAATTTTTATGAAAAAATTACAAAAGTGTGTTTACGTTTACTTTTATGCAGTTTTTCAAAACAAAAAAGGTGATAGAACATATTGAAACAAAATATTTTTTTAACAGGACACATGTTTCAACATTAAATGGTTAGATATTAGATGCTGGCGCACATTTTTCTCCCCTCCTTCTGATACACAAATTCTTTTCCAAGTCATACATAATATCTAATTCTCTTTCATTTATATACTGACCTATGCTAACACAGCTTTCACTATATTTTAGATATTAAACTCTGAATGTGCATGTTTCAGATAACATAGATGTAATTTTGCATGCATTTCAGATTGCATGGAGCAATCATAATTCTGGGAAGTATGACAGAATTCAAAAGGTTAGAAAAAACATGATCTATGCACTCAAGTAAGTATGGGCATAACTACATACATTCTATAGATTTAAAAATATAACCAAATGTAACTTACTGAGTGTCAGAATTTCCGTTATTGGTTGATGATTCACAAAGAAAATGTTCAGTAAGTGCTAGGGGAGGATAAACCTGTATATATGTGGATCTTCCTATGGAGAATCCAATACTAGAAGATGAAAGTGACTCACCTTTTGAATTTATTCTGAAAAGGTAAAAAAATATCAGAGAAGTATGTTTACAACAGGATTATAAATTAAATATAAATTATGAAAATTTATGTTTCAATTAGACAGATTTTTGAAAAGTTACATTTTCTTATTGTTACTGATGATTACTAAATTTTTAAAAATACCAAAATTACTGAAGATCCAGTTTTTTAGGATTTCAGTTTTCAAATAGTATGACAAAAAATTTTCAAGCAAATACAATTTCATGCAGAATATAAGTGATACTTATATTTATATATGAATATACTTTTGGATTATATCTTATGAAAACATCATGTTTTAATAAATGGAATTTTGTGAAAATCCAATACCAGGATTTATTTAATTTACAGGGAAGGATAGTTAGAATACATGTTTCTAAATTAAAATGTGATAATTTTAGACATACAATAAGCACAGCATATATATAAACCAGCAGAAATCTATACCTTTTTTAAATCTGTTATATCAAATATCAGTCACACTATATATCAGATATTATATCAGATCATAATCGGGTATCAATTTTGTTTTAACTTAAAAATTCTGCTTTCAATAGAAGTCATCATTATGTTATATTTTTATATTTTTACAAAAGGGAACAGCAAACAAGTTTCAAAATGAAATCTAGGTTTTAATTTGGAGATAAACAGTAAGATACAAAATAAGTATAAAATTTTACATAGAACAGAACTGATACAGAAGTGTATAAAATTTTACATATAAGGCAGATGTTTATTATCTAAATGTTGAAACTGTAGAATACAGATTAACATGAAAAGAATGTCGCTTTCTACATCAATTTAGCAATTTTGGTACTTTTAGGATTATTTGCATTCTCCAGCAAAAAGTCATAAACTCTTTGTTCAAATTTTGGAGAGAAACATTTCGTTGAATATTCTTACTTCTATTTTGACGCAGTTCTACTATTTTACATTTTTATTTTGTACGGAAATGTATGTATACTTTTCAAAGGTAATTATAGTCATCAATAGCTGTGTTTGGAAACGATTTCAATTATTCTTCATATTACTTATTTCACTGTCAAATATTCCTTTGCCCAATAATAAATAAAGAGAACAGCTGTTGTAAATGAGATATAGTTATATGTAAACCAACCTGCATTCTGACACTTGCTTGCAATTTTTCTCATTGCATTTCCATAAATTTCAGTCATTTAAGAAACACAACTTCGTAGAATGAGAATTTTTGCATTCTCAATGACTGGGCAAAATGCCATATTTCTGATGAAATGCAATGTTTCTTTTTCATCAGCTAGTAAATTCTGAAGTCCTGTTATAATTTGTTATGGCAATATATATATATATATATATACTCAATGCTAAAACAAATTTGAACCTCCTTTTGCAGACTGCCAAAGCTGTCATCTTCACCTACTATTTGAAGAGGCTTTATAATAGACATGACAACAACAACAAAGCATCTCACATTAATTAACCAGTTATTACGATTCAAGTCTTTTCTATAATTTCTCCTTTCCGTATTCCTCACTAGAATGAAAGGCTGATCATTGGAATATGGTAACAGGTAGTTTGGCGACACTTTGGAGGCAATAAAGGTTACTACCTAGAACTTTGGTAATAATGTGAGAAGTAGTCAATTCCGATTACGCATTATTTTGTGTGAGGGAAACGAGAGATCGTGAGATATGTCATGTGACATTAATGGACGAATTACAGTTCTTTAATCGGAAAAGGGGGTAAATTTGGAAAAATAAGTACTATATTATTTTGTATTAAGCTTCATTGTGTGTTGTGTGAAATAGTGTTGATTAATTTTCGGATTGCATGGCGCTATGTAAAGTGAATTCTAAATTTTTAATGCGTTTATCTGATAATAATAATAACTTGAGATTGTGTGAAAGGAAGTTTGAATGGCGATGCAAGAAATCTGGTGAAAATGGACATTTTGTGAAACGGAGTGTAAAGAAGGGTACGTGGTTTGCTGAAAGTAGTTCGAGTAGGGGTGAAATTTTATTAATTTCTTATTACTGGGTGAATAAACTGCCAGTTGACTACTGGATTTCGGATTTAGAAATTAGCAGTAGTACTGCAGCCGATTGGAACTCTTTCTGTAGGGAAGTGTGTGTTCCACGTAATGAAGATTCTGAAGAAGATTAGGTAAGTTAGTATTTTTAATCATTTGAGGATATTATTTTTATGCATTGTTCTAAATGTAAGGAGTAAAAATAAATTAATATGGTATATTATTGGAAAATTGTTATTAGCAATGATTTAATTTAAAGTAATTAGGATTGTAATCTAATTTTTATTAATTTAATGTATGTGCTTATTTATATTTTAAGTAGTGTTTTTTAATTTAATTATATTTTAATTTAATGATCGTGATTTTGTGAGTTATATGTTTGTAGTATTTTGGAATACGTTTGAGTAGTATATGTTGAGTATTTTCATGTATTTTCGTGAAATTTTTCTAATTTATGAGAAAAAAGCAGTGTACATGGATATAGTGAAGAGTGTGCACAATGCCATTTTTGTGCAATTCTGGGATGTTTTTTTAAGTAAAAATAAGTCGACGTGTACATGGTTTAGTGATATTTTAATTAAATGATAGTTATTTTGTGAATTTTATGTTTGTAGGAATTTGGTATACGTTTCAGTTGAAGTAAACGTGTATGGAAATAATTTAAATATTTGACACTAAGTATTTGTAACTATTTTTAATGTTTGCGTATAAATTCGTTGGTGACGTTTATAATATAATAGATAATTTAGAGGTAAAAGCTTTTGGATATTTTATTTATTTTATACGTGGAAATGTTCATTCTTGGAAAAGGTATATACTTTTTCGCGATCAGGTAATTTCATATATGTGCTTTTTACAGAGTTTAAAGATTAAGAAAATTTTCATGCAAATTTTTTTAATTTATGAGAAAATAGCAGTGTAGATAGCTAAAGTTAAGAGTGTGTGCAATGCCATTTTTGTGCAATTCTGGGATGTTTTTTTAAGTAAAAATAAGTCGATGTGTAAATGGTTTATGTGTATGTGCTATTCTGAAAAATTCGCAAGGAGTTTGTGATTGTGCACTTTTTCCCAATTTTGCAGTTAATATTTGTCATGATTAAGCAGTTTTGTTACATAAAATTTCTAGCATAAGTGTAATTCGGCTAGTAGATTGTTGAAAAAAGTGTTGAGTAAATAAAAAGAAAAGAAACATGTCTTTAACTTCGTAAAGACAAAATGGCGGCGAAAAAAAAATAGAGGGTTGCTGTAGCAGAGTTGATCGCCAAATTTTCGCCAAGTTACCATAATCCAAAGATCAACCGAATGAAAATTAGCTTTGTGTGTATTTATGGCATGGGTTTTGAATCTTTAGTTGAGAGAAGTCTGTCTGAGGCAATCATGTCTTGCTGTTAGCATGTTTAGTCAGCTCTCTTTAAAAATATATATTCTGGCTTTAGCATTCTTGTACCTGATGCTTAATATATGTGCCAGTAAAATATATCAACTAGCTTATTCTATTGCAATGCTTTGGTCTCAGACTACATTATCCACATTCAAATTGAATTGTCTGTTATGTTAATTTAAAATATCCACAAGCTGTGTAAATTTCATCTGTAGCACAAGTTGTGCCTTTGTGTTCAAACTGAGAGTAAAATAAAAAGGTTATTTAAACCTCCTCCTGTATTTTTAGAGCTGTTTAAGATATAGCTGTAACTCACTGTCTAGTAGGGTCTGCAGATATTAATTTTAAGGGTCTGCAGATATTAATTTTAGTTTTCACTTATAGTAGCAACTCTAAAGATTCTTTGATTCGCAAATATTTTAAGTACTATATTCTCATGCAAAAACAGCAGAGTTTTGTTAATGCTTTAGTTTTTAAACTATCAAGCTATAGAGCAAATGAACATTCAGTTATTCTTGTTATTATTGTATTCACTTTGTGTTCTTGGAATCTAAGCTAAAGCTGGGAGAAGATTGAAAAAAGCATTTCACTTTAAATAAGCTCTCTCATACATTTTACTGGCGCATTTATAAAGCATCAGCTAACAAGAATGTTAAAGCCAGAATATTATTTTTAAATAGAGCTGGTTAAAAATACTAACAGCACACCATTATCAGAAGCTCTCAAGAAAGATTTAAAACCCTCACCTTAAATACACACAAATCAAAGAGTGTCACAGAAAACAAGCTGTTTCAAAAGTGAATATGGTGTATAGTGAATAAAAAGGGGAGATCACTGCAGATATATCTGCAAAATACCTCAAGAAAATCATTAAGGCATTAAGATTTTCTTGAGGCATAAAATTAAACTTTTTTCATGTCATATACTATTTTATTTATTTTTTCAATTTAAAAAAGGAAAAATTTCAACTTATTCAGATATATGGATAATATTTTAACATGTTAAATGTAGAATGGAAAATTGAGTAAAGCAATTGCACAGTGATAAAATCATGGAAAATTGTTCATATGCATATCATTCTAATTAAAATGCAGATAATACAACTTTCTCATTTACATATCTTTTCTGAAAGGCCCATTGAAAGACATATTAACTGCACTTTATGGTATTTTATCTTTTAATGCAGAATGCAGTTTTCCAGGTAATGGAAGGCATCATGATGAATATTGAGTGACAAAGTATTCTTTCAAAAGAAATGTTATTCAAATAAATAAAATTTAATTAATAATTACATTCCTTCCATAATAAAACATGTTGAGTTTGCAGGTTTTCCAACTGTCAGTAGAATGGGCTACTAATTACATTATAATAGCATGCATGGGGGAACGTCCTTATATGGCTTCTACATTTTATGGAAATTTTTCTTTGAAATAATCTCAGTAATGATCTGTGTGATTAAAGCCAGACAACTGCTTTGAAAGACATAATAGGCATCATATTTATTCAACTATGGCATCACAAAACTTTCCATTATGTCCACGAAAATCCTTGCTATAATTTGCACCAAAGCAATAAATGTCCACTGTGCAATGATGTCATTTCGAAAAAGGGGAACATCTGAATATGCATAAACTTCAAGCAGATTTTCAGTTACTATTTTGTTCAAGTGACAATCTTCCTCTCAAAAAACAATCAAACTGTTGTGAAGTTGTGCAGCCCTGAAAATAGCAAAACAAATGTCAAAGTGTTACTGTCCACCACTCTCTAAATTCTTAAAAATTCCTTGAAAAGGGTGAAAAATTACTTAGTGTCTTTTTTTTCGTCATAAAAATTTTGTAGGCTTTTTAAACCCAAATTTACCTTAATACCAAGAAACATTTTTTAAATTTGTATCAAATGAGCTACACTATTGATACAAACTTCACAACACAGAATTTTTTTTTTTAAATTCATGTTATTGGCAAACAAGCCAATTTTTTTTATGTATTTCAAAAATATTCAATATGCCCACCTTTGTTAATATGATAGACATCTATTAAATTTATTATTAGTATCACCATTTATCATACTTGTATACTGCTATATTCACACTAACCAATACTTTACCTATTTCATGCATGAGAAGACACAAATGTTTTCAAGAATGTTAATTAAAATCTACAGCTTTAAGCCTTCTATATAACCTAAAATCAATTTAGGACTTTGTATTTGTCTTTCATTTTTATATTTCTGTTGGAATTTTCAGAGCAGACATTGCTTTCATGGATCTATAGTTATTCAGTTAGATTTTACACCATCATTTATGACTGAAGCTATGCGGTGCTGCTAACAAAAAAAAAAAAAAAAAAAAAAAAAAAAACTAACATTTTGTACAACATAATTAATTAACTTACTATGAATTGTTAAAACACTAATGAATAATCTACTGTAAATGCAACATAATAGTATAGTATAAGACATACCTAACTTCTCTTGGTTTATCTTCAAATGCATAAAGAACGTCATTTTGACCAGAACTACATCCAACAACATCAGGTACAGTATTTGCATCTGAAGGCATCCTAAAAGTAAAATATTTCATAATTAAAAAAATAAGAATAATTACACAGAAAAGTTATAATACAATACAAATTTTACACTGCACTTTCTAAACTAAATTGATGAGAGTAATATATTTAAAAATAATACCATTCTTGCTGATTATATATTACACTAAATAAAGAGTGATCTCTGCTTCCAAACATTTTATGCAATGAATGGCACAAGATCGGCAAGATCTCTGCCAACTTTCAATGTTTATCGGAAAACACATAAATACCAAAACATACAGCTACACACTAAACTCTCTTTTTAATAGTTTGAGAATTAGTGGCTTCTAGTTCACTTTGATGGACTAGGGTGTATCTAGTAACTGTAGGAGCAACAATGCTGTTGAATGTTTTATTGTGTGGTGCATGCAATATCTATTATGAATGAATATACTTTCCAGTCACAAGGTAAAATACATTTAGTTGCTTCAAACATTTATCTGGCCTTAACAATTTCCTAAACTTAATTATTAAAATCACTGACCTTTTTAATTTTTAACATCGACTATTTTATATTATTTTTTACTTTTCATATACTATTATATGAAACATGTTATATTTCACATACTTTTATATTACTTGTTACTTTTCATATACAATCATACTTTTTTTAATTTTTATGTTTATTTATTCATACTTTTTGTCGCCAAAGGGTTCTTTGAAGAAGAAAACCCAAATATTTTAATGAATTTTTTACAAAATTTTAAATGAATTGATAAAGATATCTCCACAACATTGTATCACTGAAATTTTCACTACCATATAAAATTTTCTCTAGTAGTAAAAGTCCATGGATCTAGCAGAATACTCTATTTTAGAATAACTCATAAAACATCCATACCATTCAGGATATATTTTTACGCTTAAATTAACAACCCTCCCCTTTTTTAATTTCTGCCACGACAGAATTTTCGTTTGGGATAAATTCAAAGTCTAACCAATCTTCTGGAGGGGTTTTCAGAAATTTGAGGCCCTGCCACCAACAGAATGCCATAAATGTTGTGGAATGAAGCTGCGAGATGCCACATCTGCATGATTCAGTTATCCTGGGATGTGCCTCCAACATTTTTGTTTTGAGAGTTCCTGAGTTACTGTTCCTCTAATAAAAAATGATTTGGCACCGCCTAACCGGTGTAATGGTACCGTTGCTGACTGCCAAAAGGCCTGGGTTTGAATCCCGGAGAAGGCATGGATGTTTGTAAATGTATAGTGCCCATATGGCATGGCAGCAATCTAAATATGGGGTGAGCCAAAAGTCCTCTCGTGTGGTTTGGTGGAAGGGGAAAGGGCTGGGAGACCCTCGGACCCATACCCCCGGGTGCTATCTATCAAAATTGGAAACGAAATTGAACTAAATCTCATGGTGCTCAAGGATGTTGCCAACCGCAGGTGTAATCTAGTGCTCCTTGCCAGGAGGAACTTTGTGGGCTTCAGCTGACTACGTCAGACAAATGAGCACATGCAACAACAAAAAATGATTTCGCGGCATTATGATGAACAGTAAGTGCGGTATTTATAATGAGCAGTAAATGAGTCATTTTAGTGTGGCAACAATTTTGAAAATCGTACCAAAGCTTTACTAGGATATACTAATACCATATACTAGGATTTTACTAAAATTTTTAATGATCTTTTTAAAGAAATTTTAAATGAATCAGGTAAAATCCTAGTATACGGTGCAGCCTTGGCGCGATTTTGAAAATTATCGCCAACACCAAAGTCTATGTATATACTATACACTTTATACTATCACTGTACACATAGTATTATACTATGTACATTTTTGAATGACCCGTTTACTACTCATCGTATATGTCCCGGTAAAGTCGCCAAAAGTAGCCAAATCCCGTGTGCACCGGATACTAGGATTAAACCGTGAACAATATTCTCGAAAATTTTCGCATAAATCTAAACTAACTAAATATGAAAAAAAGACAAAAAAAAAAAAAAAAAAAAAAAAAAAAAAAAAAGCTCTTATAAATATACTATATTTAATATCGAAATAAAGTCGCTATTAAGACTATAAATTTTTATATTACCCAAGTACAGAAATTTTAATAATCACATGTATATATATCATAACGCAACAGATAATATAAACAAAATATTTTAACAGATGCAACTGAAATTAGACACACACGTTATAAAAATGACAAATTCGTACGCAAAGGGGCTACTGTATCCAAATATAATCTTCTTGCTAATTTTCTGCGAAAAGAAATTGATGACAACTCCACTGTCCCTCACAAATACTCGAAACCCGTGCACTACTTCACTCTCCAGAGAAATTTACAAATAACATGTTTTGTACTCTTAAAATCTTCCTGCCCGCAGTTTCGAAAGAGAATAAAAATCAGGGAAAGAATGTACGAGTTTAGGTAGGTTGCCTAAAATCAATAGAAACCCTCTTTAAAGAGCGTTTACTATAAGAAAAATTTTACAGAAACTTCCACACAGAAACATTGTTTTAAAGCATGATAACTAAATAAATTTTCGTCCTCGGGCATTTGATATTTAAAAAAAAAAAAAAAAAAAAAAAAAAAAAAAACCCTACTTCTAACCAACAGGCAAAGTAACCTCGCGCAAACCTGCAAAATATACGCGAAATATGAATCAAAATAAACCGGGCTCACCGGGCTTAGAAATATCTGCGATAGTATGTATTCCTGTGTTTAAAGTATTCCTTATTGCTTGTGTAACTGTTAATCACTTTCTTTTTGCTGAAATTCAACAGGAAGATTACTATATTTCTATTAAGTAGTCCCTTTGCTTACATATTTATCATTTCTAAAAAATATGAATCCAACTTCAGTTGCACCTTTATTTGTGCTTATCTGTAAAACTGCTTCGGTACATACATATTTCTTGCCGCAGTTTGGTGAATTTTACGGAAGAAAAAGAATTAGTACGAAAAGATATATATATAATAACATATATACATATTTTCCGTTTCAGCTGTACATTTATCCCAAAAAACAGTCAGTAAACCTAGTTGCAAACGAGTTTTTGTTTCTATTGCAGAAATTTCCTAGCGATCACTTCTAGAAAATATTCGAGCCATTATTACGCAAGCAATTTTGGTGCAAAATACTGCATTGCCGCAGAAATTTCACCTGTTTCTTCTATTATAGGGAAACCCCACAAGCACGAATTTTAAAATCGCGTTTAAGATTTAAAAAATAATTATAATTTTTATATAAAGCCGTTGGAACTTGCAGTTACGGAAAAAGAATGCATACGGAAATGGAGATGTTGGAAACTGGACGTTGCTACCTGGTTAACAGTTTAGTGTATTCTGAAACTCTGGCGATTTCTACTAAGGTGGTTTCGTAGTACAATCAGAGCTTAAATTGCGCCGGAGCCCGGCTCCGGTACTTCTTAATTTTGGAGATAAATCATAATTGTAGGCGGAGCGAACCAGAGCCCTAAATAAGAAGGCTCCGGCACTTCTTTTATGTAACTGAACAACAATTTCAGCAGAAATTTGGTCTCGAAAATTTTATTTTTTGCAGTAAAATTATATTAAAAATCTCTTATTAAATTTTAGTTTATCTCTTTACATTTTATTTAATGACTTAAATCTTTAATTATTTAAATAAATAATAATTAATTAGTTTTTATTTAATTAAATAATAATCGATAAGTAATAATTATTAATATTGATTAAATAATTAATAATTACTTTGATGATAATTGACTATTTAATTTTTAAATTATTAATGATTTTAATAGAAATTTTACTTATTTATTTACTTTTGTTCCTCTTCGCTGACGGTCTTCCATAGGGCTCCGGTACTTCTAATTTTAGAAATTAAGCCCTGAGTAAAATTGCTTATTTTTGCTATCTTTTGTTACATATATACGTCATTATTAAAATTTCCATTTTTGTGTAATATAAAAACTTTGTACCCTTAATAGTAACTTTTGCTTTCGATATTAAATATAGAATAAAGTTATAAGAGCAATTTTACATCAAGACAGAAGAGAAACACGCCTCAAAAAGTGTAGCAACAACCTGTGTTAGACGTAGATTTTTAGCATAGAAACTCGATTTCGAGGTCGAACAAAGTCCCTCTTCACCAGGAGCTAAGAAAGCTGCAGATTTCTTTCTTTCACAAAGAATTTGCAGCTTCTATGCTAAAAATCTACACCTAACACAGGTTGCTGCTTCACTTTTACCATTTTTTATATGTTTAGTTAAGTAGCTTAGATTTTTATGAAAAATTTCAAGAATATGATTAATTTCAAATTTCATAAAAAATTTTTTAAAATATTTTACTGCTAGAGAAAATTTCGCATTTTAATGGATGTTTTAATGACATAATATTATACAAAAATCTTTTCAATCTAATTTATTCCTAATTTAAGATGCACAAAAGGAAGGGTCAACTCCACTTCTTGTTCGATTCCAGGCGAACAGGTTTTTTCGTGGTGATTTTTCATAGTTTTTTCCATGCTTAACATGGATGCCAGTTTCCGTTACAAAGTCCGAGGAGGAGTCCATTCTAACCTCCTTGAGAAAGTCCTCCACAAAAGGTAGTGTATACGAGCCAGTTTCCCTTAAGTCCTCCACGAAGACATCCCTCAGGCAGATAGCTCTAGTGTGCTTTGCCATAATTAAGTAAACCAAAACGAAACCAAACCACAAAAGGTATCCCTCCTCTTAAGCAGGCCCACCAGCGGCCGAGCGGTAAAGTCGCTGAACACTGGTAGTTCGGTCCGAAGTTCGAATCCCGCGAACGGGCTGGCTGCATGGGCGTTTTCGTGGTTTTCCTCATGTGTAACGTTTATACGAGCCAATTTCCCTTAGAAAGTAATACACGAAGGCATCCCTCCCCTTAGGCAGATAGCCCTCGTGTGCTTTGCCATAATTAAATACACCAACACCTCTTAGGCAGATAGCCTTTGCAGACTTTCCCATAATCAAATAAACGAAACTAAACCACAAAAGAAATGTGAGAATCGTAAGATCTGAATGATATTTTACCATTTGTAATATGATCACATAAAGGCACCAAAACATAAATTTTGCGGAGAAACTATTGTTTAAATAACTGTCGGTAATACTTTTTGCTCTTCATATATTAATGAAACATACTAAATACTTCCTTGTAAAAGTGATTACTGCATTTGGTCCCAAATTTTGAAAATTTAATCACTCAGTCTATAATTTGAAAATTTTAAATCGTACCAAAAGCTGCTTTAGCAAGGAAGCACCAGCTAAAGAAATATCATTTTTATCCGGAGGAGGTGATCTTATTCAGTACATTTTAATTATATGATCTACAAATCTCAGTCTGTGTCACATTTAACTTTAGGTAGCATTATGCATGTTGAATTCTTGCTTGAAATTTATCTATTTTGTCACTTAAAATATATTTTTTATATTGGTATACTACTTACATATCTTGAAATTGCTACTATCTGTGGTCAAATGTTTGTTCGTGTTTGAACTGCTCATGTTGCAGATAAAAAACAAAGTTAAAAATATTTACGGGTGCCCTTTGGCGATAACTGGCGATTTTGAGCGGTACATGGAACCGAGTTTGTGCAATTCTTTAACTTATTATTTTGGCTTTGTGTAGCGGCGGTTTTAGGGCCAAAAACCGTCGCTGCACAAAGCTAAAATAACAAGTCAAAGAATTGCACAAACTCGGTACCCATGAACACATTGACCTATTTTCACTTAGAAAAACACCAGAGAAATGCACAAACTAGGCATTGCGCACTCCCTTGACTTCCATGTACATATCGATCTATATTCACTTAAAAAGTCAAGGGAGCAGCTAACAATAAATATATAATCTCAATAAGCTATATTTTAAATCAAACAATGAAATAACATGAAAAAGGAAATTCATCTTAGCACTACACAAAGGAAATATCCACTTAACCTTATTTACGAATTTCCGAGTCTTCAGTCAAACAAAATTCCTTAACAGCATCCAAAAATTTTCTAGGCTAATCTTTGGAATATGGTAACAGGTAGTTTGGCGACATTTTGGTAAGGCGATAAAGGTTACTAGCAAGGACTTTAGCAGTGTACATGCATATAGTCAAGAGTGTGCGCAATGCCATTTTTGTGCAATTCTCAGATGTTTTTTTAAGTGAAAATAGCTCGACGTGTACATGGATGATACCGTGTATGTGCAATTTGTAAAAACGCGGCAAGCAGCGGGCGATTCGGCACTTTGTCCCAATTTCGCACCCATGCCTTTACTTCGTGAAAACAAAATGGCGTCCAAACAAAAACTAGCAGGTTGCTGTAGCAGGGTTGGTCGCAAATTTGCGCCAAAAAATCGCTAAGTTACCATAATCCAAAGATTAACCATTTTCTTGGCGGCGCCACATAAATTCACAAAAATAAGAGTAAAAAATACATACGAAGTGCCGGTATCGTCCGACGTTCGACCGCACGCATTTCCATTCTACAAGGATACTTATGATGCCTGCTAAGTAAACCTTCATTTACACACTAGTCAATTAATGCGTTTTTCCCTTTCATTCCAAATCGTACAGAAACTTCAAATTAATCTTACCACATTCAGCCATTTTACCATTAAACCGCCGTACATCCTAAGCAACATCTAACACACAAACAAGCCCTTAATTTTTTCCCCATCATTCAAATTCACCGCAATCACGCAACCAATTACGTCATAATAGGGTTTCCATAGCATGCAAATACTCAGGTTACCATAAATGAAACAACAACTTGGCGATAAATGAAACAACTGGGATAATCCAAAAGGTATCCTTAAATCTAGTCTAACCAAAACAAAAGCATCAAGCATACTGAAAATTCTTCAAAATTTCTTTTTAGCTCAAAGGGACGGTAGCCCAGAAGCGCTATTAGTCGCCCTGTATTTATTTAAAGAAAATAAATAATGAAGAATCGGCATCAATGTATATATGTTTCTCGCCCTGTGAAAAACGAGGGTACCTAGAGTCATCAAATTTTGAATAACGTAATCCTCCAATGGAATATGAGCATCTGAAAGCCCGAATCTTGAATTTCCAATTTGTTTGAGGTACTTTTCCGTTTCGCCGGCGCAAATCTTGCCAAGTAGACTTTATTGGCGAAAACACACAATATACACATAAAACGTGTTGACAAATGTTAGTTGTAAGAATTTTTTATTTTGAAGGTATAAATATTTTAATGTAGTTTAAAATTTTGTAAAAAAGCCAATAAATAAAGACAATAAATTCGTAAAAAGATATTAATTTAAGAACTTACTATGCTTTCATCGTACAACATCCTGATTCGCTGGATCATATCATGTGACCCCAAGTGATCTCATCTCACGTAAACT